ATGCTTGAAATACAGTGGAGTTGCCTCACCCATTGCTTTGTTGAAGTGTGGTGGGGATGTTATTTCTTCCTGTTCCCTAAAATGTAAGGAGGGAGGGAGGGAAGTTGAGAGGAGAACCTCAGTGACAAAGACCATACAAATGTCTTTGTAATACCCAGAATGAACTCTGAGAATGCAGTCAGGTATAAGAATTAACCCTGCATGTATCAGAACATCCAATGATGAAAAAAAATACACCACACCTCCTGACCTGGGTTTAAAAGTAGCAGTTCATCTTGGTCCATTAAGAGGCACAGCTATTCAATAAAATTAAACACCATGTATTTTTCCATTACATATTAGAGAAAACTGCAAAAGTATCGCCTATAGATTAGTGTTTTAAAAAACATATCCACACCATATACCCCAGTTTCATAATTTAGAAGTCATGTAAGGTTTAAAATCTTTATGTAAATGCTACCACTCAATTTCACTAAGTTCAAAATATAACTCATAAATATACCAGCCTGTATGTGATTGTGTCCAGCTAAGCAAGGAAAGAATCTAATTTTCTTCACCTCTTGAAAACATATTACATATTTCAAATGTTCCGATATATTCATATCCCATCAATCTGCTGTTTATTACAGACCTCAGCATTTGTATAAAGCCAGGGCCATATCTTGACTTGCTATACTACAGAAATGCAGTTCCACTGAGTGACAGTTACTACACTGTCAGGGGAAAATATTGGTAGGCAAAGCACATTTTCAAATGTCACAATACATTTTAAGGTGAAATATGCAGATTCCATGCCCATTATATTGTGAAAGCCTACCTTCTTCTGGATCCCTGGCTTCTGACAAGGAAAGGTAAGGGGTCAAGGAGAAAGGCGGCTTGCTTAGTAGGAATCATATTGCATTGATGGCTCCTTTTATTTACTTTTTAAAACATGTGTATAGAACAAAGAAAGTGCATTGCAAAGATGAGGAATCTGTTGTTCTCTGGAGCTGCTGAACTTGTTGTATTAGAGCCTGTTGGTAACACTGCAAGTGGTAGTATGGGTGTCAGAAGAGGGAAAAGGAGTGCTCAAGAGCTAGATGAGGAACAACAGTGGAAAAGGATCCGGGATATACTTATGTCACCTACCGATGAAGATTTCTTCGAAGGGTTTTCTGAGAGTGAAGGGTCAATGAGTGATGAGGAGGAAGGAAATACAGTGGATGTGAATAGGGGAACTAAGAGGGTTACTCGGGAGCAGGAATTGGATGAGGAGCGACAGAGGAAGAAGATCCGGGATATACTTACTGCTCCCACAGATGAAGAGTCTTTCATGGGTTTCTCTGGGAGTGATGGGTCTGGGAGTGATGGGGAGAGAGATGACACACTGAATTGGACCAAGGTGCAAGAGGTTTGATGTATGTACTCAGTCAACGTCTAGTGACACATTTGTGGGGTTTTTTGGTGGTGGGGATTGGCAATCGGGAGATACTGTGGAGTCTTGGGGAGAGCTAAGTCTTGACAAGAGGTGGAAGAGTTGGAGGGATGGGCATCGGCGTTCAGGTGCAGAAGCAAGGATAGCTGTAAGGGATAACGATGGGGTGGAGGTCAGCTCATCATCGGATGATGAGGTGTAAGATAAAAGTAGGCACTGAAATGGAAGATCTTTGCAGAAGGCAAAGTGTTGGTTTTGTGCCTTGGGTTTTGTTGCTGCCGCTTTCGTGTTGGGCTTGGGTCCTGGATCTGCAGGTTGCTGCTTCTGTTCATATACAACTCGGCTTGGATTCTCATGAGTGCATATTTCCCCTTCCTTGACTTTGGATTGCTTTTGATGACGACGCTGCCCACGTGGACTTTGGAACCTTGCAACTTTGGACTTGGCTTTCTTTGACCTCGGACTTCATTTGACTACGGCTCTTTCTTCACGGCTCTTTGTTTGTTCGTCCTTCATTTGCTGTGTTGTTTTGTGTGACTTTGGAAGCACTTCAGTTTAATTTGGATCTTTTCTCTGGATAATCCGGGTTATTGCTTTAGTTTGCTTTTTAAGCTGAAACTTGCTGCTACTTTTGAGTTTTGGCCAGGGACACTGAAGTAAGTGTCTCTGAGTCCCTTTTGCTTCGTATTAATAAACTATTCTTTTGGACATACTCTTGAGTCTGGCTCTTTAAGGCATCTGGGTTCCGACAGAACTACAGTATGAATAGCCAGAATAGCAAAGAATGATTTTGAAATTATGGATGTAAAATTATATGATTCAAAAGGTAATGATAATAGAATGTAAGAAGTTGAAGAAAGGTGGAACCATGTCAAGAATTATATTATGAATAAATCCAGAGATCAGGCCATAAGAAATAAGATAAAAATGTTATGCAGTATGTAAACCTAGAAGGCTTGTCTCAAAAAAGATTAATATGTAAAAGAAAATAATCCTTGTGGTGGGAACTGTAAATGTTGTGTATGTGTATGTCCTCTCTCTCTCTCTCTCTCTCTATATATATATATATATATATATATATATATATTATAATAATAAACAAGAATAACAAACAATGAAGGTTATTGGAAAAACTCTGGAGAACCAACAATATCTGGTTCTTAGTTACAATTTATTTATTTTACTTATTTATTTAATTTATATCCTGTCTTTTTCGCAGTCTGGGATCTAAGACAGTTATGCATTGCTACATCAATTCATGAAAGATTTTGTTTGATAAAAATTCATTTAGGGTTAAGGGGATTGTGCATATGTAGCGGCAGCAAAAGAAGAATAACAAGAACCAAATAGTTAAGGAATGTTTTATTTGTAGAATAATGAAAACATCATGGAAGGTTTAATCTTCTAGTGAAATTCAATCAGCAGTTTCAGCATGCTTGCAATCTGATATGCAGATCTAACCCTAGGCTACAATACACAGAACAACAAAAAGAGAAACCACATTGCAAGATGCTGTGTGTTCGTGAGAGTTCAATAAATAACAACAGGGCATGTCTTCTTGGTGATTGATTTAGTTTACTATGTACACACAAACAAGGAAAATGAATGTGCACTGATTCAAATTTTGGATCACATTGTACAACTCTATTTTTTTCTTATAAAAATTGCTGGTATCATTCTCTTATAGGCATGACCCTGTCACAAAAATCAATATGAGGAAGGTTTTTTCTTTGCAACAATCTTTGCCCTCCTCTTCCCTGAAGTGACAGGTGGCCGTAAGTAGCAAACATGAAATCCAGGGCAGCAAAGAACAAGGAGAAGAGGAACGAGAAAGCCTTTGGTATAGTGCCTCATGGTACAACATAAACATGAGAAGAATGTCTGTGTGTGTGAGGAATGGAGATAAGAAGGCTAGAAGCAAATGAGGGATGAGAGAAAGTAGGGCTATAGAAGAAATAGGAGAGAGGAGGAGGAGATTAGAAGACCGAAAATGGCACAAGCCGCCACTCTGGCTAGACTATCCATGCCCTTGCCTCATTCAAGATTCTATCTGGAAGCCAAGAGTAGAAAAATAAGCCCCTTGTAAGTCAATCTTCTTCTCTTGGCTATAAGGACAATGCCTTTCCTTTTCTTCCTTTGCAGTGACTACACAATCCAGGGAGAACTACAATTGCTAGCACAATATTACATTAGCCAACAGGATTCCAGCCACAAACTCCATGTGCATGGGTGAAGGTAAAAATCACATATGAGTTCCATGTTGAGGATGATAGAGAATCCACTGCAACCTGCAAGTATTACAGATCTACCAGGGCCTTAATCTGGTCTTGATATATATCCAGAAAGGAATGACCCCTTGTAACATGGACTAAGCAAACCAGTTTATCAACTTAATGAATTCACTCAAGTTAAGGGCCTTCAGGAGGTAATGATCCACAAATATATTTTGAGAAATACTAACACAGAGACAAAGGGAAGCTCTTGATTATTGTAATTATATTGTAGAAAATCCTATTAGCTTGGTAGTGATTGCATCTACATATAAAGTACCGTATATTCCGGCATATAAGACGACTGGGCGTATAAGACGACCCCCAAGTTTTCCAGTTAAAATATAGAGTTAAGATGACTCCCATGCATAAGACTACACCCACATATAAGACGACCCCTGACTTTTGAGAAGATTTTCTTGGGTTAAAAAGTAGTCTTATACGCCAGAATATACTGTATTTATCAAGTTAGCTTCTCTAGATGGATGCCATATCTTTCACAAGGATAAAGGAGATTAACTGGAAGGAGATGAAAATAAATGTCAATGTAATAATGAAAACAATATATTAATATAATTTAGAACTGTGGTACAGTTGCTACCAAGGAGCAACCTCTCTCACAGCATTTAATTGGCAAAAGTAACTGCTCCACAGAATTATCTTCATTTCATTATCCTTTGCACTTTAATACTTAAATGATGTTTCCTGCTACACATAACATCTTATGTTTTACTGCACTTGCACTAAATCTATCTTTAGTAAACAACAGGTTTCCAACACATTCAATAACATCACATACAGTCATAAGAATGCTTCTATAGGTTATAAAATGCAGAACAAGAAAGAATACTGTTGACACTAGAAGTGATAACAAGTTAAGGAAAATATATTACTGATTACTTGTCCACGTGAAGAGAAATACTTCTTTTATATAAAATAATTCACCTTGAATTGCTATGCTAAGCAGATTTGACTGCTAGTAAGCCCCACTCTACAATGCAATGTGTTCCTGGAGAAAACATTTGCAGAATTGCACACCAAAAATTATTGGCATTGAAAATCTTGAAAGACAGTATTTTATGCAATACGGGTCAACTGACTAATGAGAAATCCAAACAGAATGAAATTATTAAGAAGATTAAATGTTTAATGCTCATATTTTCATGAAATGTCACTCACTGCTTTCTCAAACTAACTAAAATCTTGACCAAATGCATAGCAGACATTACTACAAGGAGATGTATGTGTAGATTTTTTTTTGATGGAAGGAATGGCTAACTGATAAAAGATACAAATTAGCATTCCTGCCAGCTTACCTTCCCCTTGGCAAAGCTGTCCTTCTCGTTCCTTGGTAATTTCCTCTTTCCTGTGTCTCCTATTGATCCTTTCAAAGTGATATACACATCTGAGTCTGTTCCTGACTCCAAGGATGAGTCCGTTGAGATATACAAAACATATTGTTTAACTAAGGAAACATAAAGACATATTAAGGGCCTGTATACATGACCAACAGCAACAACAATCACCACTTGGACTCACTTCAGATTCAGCATAATGCATGGGGGTTTCCAATGAGCATCCCTGGTTTTCTGTCCTTAGGGCAATGTTGCTCTTCTTCAGGCAAAAGCACAGGATACTCTGGAGTTTGAAGAAAACTCTGGAGTATCCTAAGGCTTTGCAGCCATCTGGATTGGATCCATTTAGGCCCAATCTACTGTCCAGACAGATGCTGCCATCACACCACCACCTTTTTCCTGAACTGATTAGTGCAGGGAAAGTGGATGGCTCATCTCCATGTCACACTGTCGCTCCTTGCAGACCATGGAGCACCTGAGATCTGTTGTATCTGCTGTTGTCACAGTTGTGGACCCACATGGTCACAAAGAAGGAGGGGATTGCTCTCTCCCTTCCTTATTGCTTATGTAGGTATACCATTTTAACATCAGCAGATGGTGCAGGTGACAGTCAGGAACTGGTAGGGGGCTCCATGACTGGCAAGTAATGGTGACACAGAGATGAGGGGATGGGCTGGACAATGTGAACACTGTTGCCAGATTCAGCAGGTATTTGCTGGATCTGGGGCAGCTCTGAGGCATCTCTGGGGCATAAATACCCTGGAGTAACCTGCCATGTTTAGATAAGCCTAAGAACTTAATCACATGCAAGATTCCCCCCCCCCCCCAATTTCTACACACTTTATAAACCGTTCATAAACGAAGCGACATGGTCCCCATTATACAATGTAAGGGGACTTCTGCCTCTTGCCCATGCTGCTTCATATCTGATCTGTTTCTGAAGTATAGTGAAATGGGGGGGGGGGGGGGTTGAGCCAGTCAGAAGGCATCTAATGTGTCTAGAAATTGGAGAAAGTAAGGAAAACCATGCGTCAAATTTGCCCGTGTTAAATCGCTCCAGTGATGTGGGGTCATGGGCGTTTCTGTGGGCAGGTAGGTAATTTTAAAATTAATTTAAGTATAAGAAATAGTGCATTCTCCAGAGATCACCACTCTGTTACTTCTGCACCAGTTGTGCCCATACCTTGGGAAGTCAAACTTGGCCATGGCAGTCATATGGAGGAAAGGGCAAGCCTTCGGGATAGGGCAATATGATAACAACAGGAAACCATCTGGTATGGCTGGTTTGAGATAGTTTTAACAACTGATTTCAATGTTTCTGTATATTTATAATTTGTTTTATTCTGGCATTGAATGTTTGCCATATATATGGTCTGCTCTGAGTCCCCTTTGGGGTGAGAAGGGTAGAATATAAATGTTTTAAATAAATAAATAAATATTTCTCCTCATATTATTCCAGGTGTTTGAAATTGTGTCTCTGTCTATCTATCTATATCTATCTATCTATCTATCTATCTATCTATCTATCTATCTATCTATCTATCTATCTATCTATCTACACACACACACACACACTAAAGTTGTGCCTACGCACACACACATGTTTTTTTAGGGAAAAGTAATAGCAACCTAATATGAAAAGAAAGTTGACTTGTGCCTCCTTGAAAGTATGGGGCTTGGGAAGGAAAGCAGCCCATAGATGTAGTGTCTTAAGAAAGAGGCTTGGGAGCAGCCCATAAAAGTTGTGTCTTAAGAATGGTGTTTGGGAAGGAAAGCAGCCCATAGAAGTGGTGTCTTAAGAATGATGCTATCCTCTAAGCAGATAGTTGAACTAGAGGCAAGAGGAGGCAATCCTGATGATGTTCTAAATTTCCATCAGTAATCATATATAAAGCAGCATAACATTTAACTTCCTCACATAGCCCCAGGGGCAATACTTTTTTAACAGTAGTCGCCGGGGAAATGACAGGCACATGGAGGGCCTCATGGTGCCCTGCACACCCCCCCTCCTTCCCCCACCACATGGTGGGAATGGGAAAAGGCTCTCTGTCCCCATCATATGGGTGAAAGGGTGTCAGCATGTGTTACCGTGTTGCCCTTTCCCCAATCATATGGAGGAAAGGGCAAAAAAATGGGTAGCTCCATTGCAGCTACCCCAAACACATTTTCCTCCCTGTTGTGGCATTAATGGGGATGGGTTCAAGCCAGTGTCATCTGATGGTACTCAGCAGGCCCCATCTGGAAGAGAGAAAAGGGACCACAAACACCCCACCACGCCTTATGTGAAGAGGTCCATTGCAGAGCACGCAGAATCCTCTGGGGAGATAGGGTAGAATATATATATGTAATCTAGCCTTACCATCAATGCAGCATGGTAAGACAGATGTCTATTTAGATTCTCCTCAAATATCTCAAATGATACATCACCTTCAAAACCACTCTATACTACTTAGGAAGTTTCTCCAAATATTTAGCCCATATCCTCTTCCCTGCACTTATGACAGAAGGGTCTCACCCTGTCTTCCCCAAATATACAGTATCTTTGTTCTCATGGTTTGTCAAGGTGAGTTTCAACTTGTGTAGGGATTGATAAGACTCCAGGGTAAGGCTTTGTGTTAGATTCCTTCACACTGAGAGATATTTCACATGACCATTTTTTCAACCATTTATTATTTCCACATAAGATATGGTTCTTGGCTATATTTTTAGTGTGAAATGCCCTGGAGGATGGACTTGTGTGTAGAGAGGCACTAACATACAGTAGTTAAGAAGTCCATACAGAGGGATGATGCAGTAAAAACACATTTGTCAGCATCCTCTTCTGCAGTGTCACCCAGCTACCTCATAGCATAAGCCCAGTGAAGAAATATACTAGTTTTAAGTTTAAAGGATCTTTTGTTGCCAGAAATTCTCTTCTGCCAACAGAACCTTTTTCTGTTTGATGATCTCAGAGATCTGCTGACAGAGCCAACTCTTGACAGAAGAGTAAAAAAAGAAGTAGAAAAGGGTCAGGATGAAGGTGGAGTTAAGTTATATCAAATCCAAACATCTTCCAACAGAGCCATAATTACAGTGCCTACAGAAATTTATATCAGAAGAGGGTAGTCCACAGTAATTTCCCTACTCTTTTGGAAATTATATCTTCAGTACAACTTCAGCCAGTCTAATGTTGATTCTTGGTGACTTTGGCTACTAGATTTATGATCTCAGTGATCATGGGTTACATCTCAATCTATCTTTACGCTCCTCCTTTCACCTCCTCTTCCTCAGATGCCTCCTACTTACAGGTTTTCACAAGCACCAGAATAAATTGCTGGCCCTGTTTGTGTGAGAGCCTATAAAGTCATTTTACAACTAGCCTAACATGTTTAGTTTCTTAGACATAGTAATGTTAGTGAATTCTTCCTGGTTAAGAGCAGAAGTGTAACATTAGCACTTTCTTAACTTTCCCAACTCTTGATTATCACTTGGCAACTATGATTAGGTAACATTGGTCAGGGAAAACAGTTTCACTCCAGCAGATCTGACAACAGACCATGTACACTGGGTTCGACTTTGCACTAAACCATTTCCATTCAGTGGGTGCTTCTGGAAGAGGCTTCTGTGACAAAACCAATGTGTATCATTCCCTGAATTTTGTTGAGATTGGTCGGGTGACAATTCCAGGCATTGCAGTGATATCCTATCCCTTCTTTTGTCTTTTGTCTTTACATACCAACAAATCTGTTAAGAAAAAAAGGTAGAATAGCTCTACAATCTTCTCAACTGGTTGGCACCAGATGTTAATTATCAAAATTGATATAACTTTAAGAGGCTTACTTTTTCATCTTCCCTCTTCATTCCTTTTTCTTTTTGTGTCAGCTCTATTAGACAAGAACATTCACTCTTGACTAGGCTTCTCTGGGAGTTTTTGCTTTTGTTTGATTTGGGAGAAAGTGTTTCAGAGAGGGGAGGTAAACACTTTTAACTAAACTTTATACAATAAAGAATTATTCACGGCGAGTTACACACCTGTTAAAAAACTGCATCCATCTGTGAGTACTGGCAGCTCAGTACAACCTTCAGCATCTGAAAAATCCCGCAGAAAGGGAAATTCTAGAGTTTCTTCACTCTTTGTGTGGTGAAGCTTCACCTGCACAAATTGCAGAGGCAAAATTAAATTTCAACAGCAAGACCACAACAAGGCCCAAGATGTTCTCTAGGTGGTTTCAAACAAAGTCCATTAGACATATAATAAAATAGGCATGAAGGTGAGTGATACCTTTTATCTAGGTGGGCTATATGGTCCACAAAGATCACCATTGTCCATCAGTTTATCTATCCCCCCCCTTTAAATCCCCCCCTCCCAGTAGCAATGATACCCTTGAACATTATTTACTATTAACAATAAGCCAGAAGCATTTACTGGTTTGAAAACTAAACCATGACTCCTGGGCCAGGGTTTGAGTCCTCAAACAGATACTGGGCAAGTCACATACTCCCAGCCTCAGAGTAAAGCTAAAGCAAACCCATTCTGAATATATCTTGTCAAGAAAATCCTAAGAATGTTGGAAATGTGAAAAACATGTGGGTACCTTTTACCACATATGGTGGTCCTGTGGAATTGTGAACATCTACTGTAAATATACACAAAAATATACAAAAAATATTGAATATAAGATTTCAAATGAAACCAGAATATTTCCTTCTGGGAATGACAGATATGAACTTGGGCAGGCATCAAGATATTCTATCCAATTACTTTGTAACAGCAGCAAGAAAAATCTATGCAAGAAAATGGAAGATCAAAGAAATCCCAACAATAGAAGAACGGCTACTGAAAATTCCTGACATTATGAGTATTAACAATTTAAAGCACCAACTAAAGAGCTATCAAGGTTATCCAGAAAAAAACAACAACTGACTAGACTTTATTTAAAGACTATTTGAAACAAGAAAAATAAAAATGATGATTTTAATATAAGTTATTTTTATTGAGAGAGGGAATTGAACATTTTAATAAAGACTGAAAATTAACAACGATCCACCACCTTGATGGAAGAGATTGGAAGTCAGCAACTCCCCTTCCTATTTTTCTTGCCAACCCCCTCTTTTTTATTTTTTTTTCTGGTTTTTTTATATACTTTCATTTCCTCTATATGTTGGGCTCAGTAGAGCTCCTATATATATGTATGTGTGTGTATGTATGTATGTATGTATGTATGTATATGTGTGTGTGTGTGTGTGTGTGTGTGTATATATATATATATATATATATCACAATTTACATATATATGATATCTGTAAATAACATTTTGTTTACCTTTTTAGGCTGTATTTAATAAAAATATTTTTAAAAAGAAAATGCTATGATAGGTTTGCCTTAGGATCACCATAAGTCAGAAAAAACTTGAAGGTACAATAGTAAAAAAAAATCTACAGCTTATTTACACTGCAGAGGTATGTCATTTGTGACTGCAATATAAACCACAATCTGTTTTGCTTTTTGTACATTGACACCTGAAAATTTAGGCAACTGTGTGGAGAGGAAAACCATTCAGCCATCTGTCAGCCTCATATTGTGAGAAACACCTCGCAGTCCAAGATGTCAATAGTTGGAATACTTCCAAGTACATTGGTTGCTCTATGCATGCACAACATGATCCATCCTATTTAGATAAATGAAACTGTACTAGATTCAAGACTAAGGCAGAATAGCAGACAGGCATTGCTTTGAGTCTTATTTTTGCATGTTTATCCACTATTTATTTTGTACAAACCACAGTATAAAAAAACATAAGTCTTATACCCAATTCAGAGAGGGATCTCTTCCCTGTGTGTGTGTTTCCAGCAACTCTGAATGCTTGAATCAGTCTAATGTTTACAAGAAAAACAATTCTTTCCAGTAAATACCATAAGGCTGTGCAATTATCACCTTCCGTGGCTGCTGTTGCTTTACTGTTTATCATGTAAAAACCTTATTTTAAAAATAACTTTAAAATACACTGCAGAAACAATCTTTTTCAGAAAGACCCTTTTAGAAAAACAAACTGACACAGCAGGTATCCAATGTTTCATTTAGACCTAATGTATGTAAACGAATTCAATAAAAACACATAAAATGTGACACAAAAGGAAGTTTAAGCTACATTAACTTGCTAAAGTAGTGGGGGATGCAATTCATGCTGTTGTGATGCCAACATTTTTTTAATCCTTTAGTTCAGGCTTCCTTAGTTTGATACTTCCAGATGCTTTTAACTACCATTCCCACAATCTCTTGGCACTGGCCAGGCAGGTTGGATCCCTAATTTGAGGAAATCTATTTTAGTTAGATCCTTCACCACAAAGTGTAAAGACTAATGTCATAGTGATGAGGTAGCAAACAACAACAACAACACTTTATTTATAGGCCGCCCTATCTCCTGAGGCAACTCAGGGCAGCTTCAAGGACTCAGGGTGGTTTCCAGGTCCAGATGTTGTTCCTTGGTCCAGATTTTGTAGACCAGCCTAGCATGATATGTATTTTTGAAAGTAGCTTGTAACAATAGGGGGAAAGGTGGGGGTCTGTTGCTTTAGAGTATAAAAATTCAAAGCTTTCTGGATGTGTGGAGCCAGGGCTTTTGTTGATGTTTTCTGTAATTCACTTTGTGTCTCTTCAGGTGCTGTGGTGAACCAGAAAAGTATTCTTGGCAGAGACAATAAGAGACTTTAGTAGCTTCATCAATCATAATGGAAGACAGGTCTCCTTTGTACTTTTCTTAGTTAATAATACAGTTCTCTTACTACTGATATTGTTTTCTTATTGCTGCTTGGCAAGCAGCAACTGCCAGATATTGTCTTCCATACTTTACCACAAGCATTGGGATGGGTGAAACATAGGTCTATTGTGGATCTCATGTTTTAAGTACAGAAGGCCCCAGCTTCAATTCCCCAGCAATTCAATATTTTAGGTAGCATAGCTGGAATCTTGTGGTGTCTTTAAGAATAGTTACAGCAGGTACATTTTCTTGTTACCTTGACAGCAAAAATAAATCTGTGACACAACCATTCTGTTATAATCAGTCAAAATCTCAATTATCATTGTAGAAACTGACACTTGTCTTTCTTCCTCTTTTTAAAATGGTAGATAACTAATAACATTAATCAGAAACTGTGAAATAAAGAATCCAGATTTAGTGCCTTTCCATACTGCCCCTGTATCCCAGGATCTCATCCCAGATTATCTGCCCCTTCTACACTGCCATAGTGGAGACTCATATAATCCAGTTTAAAACAAATAAACTGTAATCAGATCCTGGGATATAGGGCAACGTAGAAGAGACCTTCGGCATCATCTAGGTCATCCCAGTTTTTAACTAACCCAGGCCCCTTTTAAACTGCCATGAATTATTATTATTATTATTATTATTATTATTATTATTATTATTATCTTTATTTGTACCCCGCTAGCATCTCCCGAAGGACTCGATGCGGCTTACAAAGGCCAAGGCCTCAATACACAACATAACAATACGAAACCTAAGCAAATTAAAAACAATTAAAGCAATATAAACAACAAGCAATAAACGATACTCTAAGAAAACAATAAAACTGGGCCGGGCCAGAGTAATGGGTACAGAATTACGGGCCAGAGTAATGGGTCAGGTTTACGATCGACCAGGAGGACCTCTGTCTTGTCAGGATTGATCTTCAGCTTGTTCCTCCTCATCCAGATAGACACAGCGGCCAGGCACTTGTCCAGGACCCGAGAGGCCTCCTTGGAATTGGGTGGAAATGAGTAATAGAGTTGTGTATCATCTGCATAGAGGTGGCACCTACCTCCAAAACTCCGGATGACCTCTCCCAGCGGTTTCATGTAGATGTTAAAAAGCATGAGAGACCAAATAGAGCCTTGCGGGACCCCATAGGTCAAAGGCCAGGGGTCCGAGCAGGCATCTCCCAGCTTCACCATCTGGGATCGATCCTCCAGGAAGGACCGGAGGCACGACAAAACCGTGCCCCCAAGACCCATCCCAGAGAGTCGGCCCAGAAGGATACCATGATTGATTGTATCGAAAGCCACTGAGATGTCCAAGAGAACCAACAAGGTCACATTCCCCTTGTCTAGCTCTCTACGGAGGTCATCCACCAAGGTGACCAAGGCTGTCTCGGTACCGTGAGCAGGCCTGAAACCAGACTGTGACTGATCTAGATAGTTGGTGTCATCTAGAAAGCCCTGGAGCTGGGAGGCAACCACCTGCTCCAGCACCTTACCCAAAAAAGGGAGGTTGGAGATTGGTCTGAAATTGTTCAGCACCGTGGAGTCAAGGGAAGCCTTTTTAAGGAGTGGACGCACCACCGCTTGTTTCAATTGAGATGGAAAAACCCCTTGCTCTAACGATGCATTGATGATCACCACAAACCAATCAACCAAACCCTCCCTGGCCGATTTAATTAGCCAAGATGGGCAAGGGTCTAGAGCCGATGTGGTTGCCCTCACAGCCCCAAGGACCTCTTCCACGGTCTCAGGAAGAATGATGTAGACTCATATAATCCAATTCAAAGCAGATAATGTGGATTATCTGAACTAATAATCTGGACTATATGGCAATGTAGAATGGACCCCATTGATTATTTTGCAGTATACAAAAACATAAGCCTTAGACCCAATTCAGAGAGGGATCTCTTCCCTGGATGTGTGTGTTTCCAGCATCACTGAATGCTTGAACCAGTGTAATTTGACTTAGAATGGATAAAGTATTGGCTCTAAATAGATTTGAATATTGTGTGAATTACTCTAATTCTTCAACCTAATCAGAAGCTGCTTCAGGAAATCAGAACTAAAGGTAATGTGAGGACATTTCCCCCTAAGAGAATTTGAAAATTCATAATGTTTTTTACCTCACGGCAGTGCCATGTTCTCCCATCTATATCTTCCACTTCCAAGCGAACTTTGGATATCATACTAAACTTCTTATCTAGTTCCAACGATGACTGATAAGTTTCAGCTCCCTTAAACGATCCGTTGGGAATCAAGACTGAAGCAGAGGCACCTTTGTCATCACAAGCTGTTATAGTCAATTTAGGGCTCACATCACTGCTTGAAGTATTGCTAGTGGAAACAATGACATCCCAAGTTCCTAGACATCAGCAATAAATATAAAAAGTATAGCTTCATGTAGAAAGATTTATCCCAAATTGACATTTATCCCAAATTATTTAATAATTAAGGTTTATCAATATACCATATTTCTTCCATTGTAAGACACCCTAATTTCAGCGCCACCACCAACAAAAACACACAAGATATGCTTGCGATTCTAAGATGCACCCTATTTTTAGAGATGTAAGAAAAAAGTGTGTCTTAGTAGTGACATAACAAAACAAATTTTATTCCTGTCATTGTTTGTATCATCATCATTGCATGATATCAAATTAGTTTTAAAGCAGAGGCACTTATTTTCCTATTGTGTGGCTGCCTCCTGCAGAATTCTGGGAAATATAGTTTTGGGAAGCTGAGGACCTCTCTGTCTGAGAATGTCAAAGGCCACATCCTAATTTACATTTCCCAGAATTCTACAGGGGGCAGCTATGTCATAGGGAAGTGAGTTCCTCTGCTTTAGAGTTATCATGTGATATTGTCTACTATATTTATGCATATTCCTCATTTTTTCATAATCTTGGACTCAAGGTTGCTTACTAAACACATACAGCTAAAATATTACATAATGCAAAATTTAAAAAATATAATTAAACCTTCAATAAAATTAAAAGCAGCTGAAATAACCAATTAAAAAGGGAGATCAACAAATATAGGGCGCTACCAGACAGGCAGTTATCTCAGGACCCATCCACATTTTAAAAACATAGATGTTCCTGGGGGCCTGTCCACAACCACTCCAGAAAGCGTGCACATTCTGGGGTTGGTGTCTAGATGTTCTCATGGGACTGGCCTTCGAGAACATCTGGAAGCCCTACCCTCCCTCCCCTAAAGACCCCAAACCCTTTTATAAAGTAAATAAAACTTATCTGGTCACTAGTACAGTCTTGCAGCAGCTCTCCCAGCATGTAGAAATGGTACTCCAGGAGAGTGGAGGAGGGGAGAGGAAAATCACTCCCTCCCCCGCTCTCCTGGTGCATGATTTCTATGCACTGAGATAGCTGCTGCAAGACTGTACTGGATGCCGGGTAAGTTTTCTGTATTTTTAAAAGGGGGTGGGGACTTTGGGGGAGGGGGTGGGTATTCCCACAGTTTTTTGGACTAATTTCGTCCAGAAAACTGTGGGAATGGTGTCTGGACTGCAGTATTCTGCAGCCCAGAACCGGAAATAGTGGGTTTATCCAAGAAGGCGTGGAATAAACCCACTATCTAATTAATTTGCCACAAATCAGGGTTTTCCTGGTTTGTAACAAAATAATTTGTGATTGTCCAGAACCTTATCTGGACAGCCCCCTTTCTATTGTGGAAGTTTCCACAATAAAGGGGCTGTCTATATCCACCCATAAACAACACAGCACTAAAAAGGAGTCAGCTGTAAAGGTCTGCTGATACAAAAAGGACTTAACCTGCCTATGAAACAACAGCAAAGAGGATGCCAGTCTAACCTTTCTTTGGCCATTGTCTGGGCAAGTATTGATTGACTGACTGATTGAATTTATACTCTGCATTTCACCTGGGATGGTATCCTAGTACCATGCAACATCCAGTTTAACATGATATCTAATGACAGTCCTGACTGCGAGTACACCAGAGGAAATGAAAACAGTGCTAGGACTGATAAGAAATGTTAGAAATAGCTTCAAATGAAAGAATCTTTGATCTATAGTGGCTTGCACTTTGACAAATCTGCTATAGTCTTTTCATTTTCCCCCTGCTGCATCCAGTTCTTAAATCTCATTTTAAAACATTGCTTACAATTCTTAATCTCTGTGTCTCTGTATGCATGCTAATTTTTTTCTCAGTAATATTATAAACAGCATTATCTAGTTCTGAATAATACTAAGGGGATACAGTTTGCATGAAAGATTTTATTCAGGATAAACCTGTATTATCTCATGGATTGTATTTTTCTGCTGTATTTATTTACCCAGGCAAAACATGGACAATATGCATCAAAACAAAGCTGGAAATGGTCTGATGATTTTGCTTCTCACCATGAATGTTTCCCACTGGCTTTTTTCTCCTAACTTTTCCAAGAAGCTGCAGCTCTTGTTTCATCTTTCCATCAGCAACTCCACTGTCCAACCATTGCTGACACGAGAATACATACTGGCCATCATGTTTCCCTAATTCTTGTATTATGATTTTTTCAAGGTACCAGCCAGCTCCGTAACCATATCTATTATGTTCCACAAGCACTTTGCTTAATATTCCCAGATCTAATGCTCGGATGCTAAAAGTACTCATCTAATGGGGAAAAAAGTAAAATTAGAACCAACATTGTTATTGTTAAATATGTATATTCAATATTAATCCATTATACCATTAAAGAAAAAATACATCTATTTAACCAAATCTGAGTTAGGTTATATCTGGTTCTATGAATTAATTTAACTACACAAAGTTTCTAGTATTAAAGTATTTCACCTAGGCTCAGTGTATATCAAACTATATTGCACAGATCCATGAAATTTGTACTTGGAAGTTCTTCAAGGAACCTACAGATAAAGACTCCCAAAGGCTCCTTGACATTGGATGCAAAAAAGATATAGAGTTGCATATCACCAGCCTGTGGAACCCTTCAGACTCCCAAAGACTCCTGGTTCAATACTCCCAAAGGCTCCTTGACATTGGATGCAGAAGAGATATAGAGTTGCATACCATCAGCCTGTGGAATCCTTCAGATTATTGCCCAGTGGCTGGAAATCTATCACCTATCATCAATTTCTGGGTAGAGCCAGACATGAAAACCCAGCATCCCACTAAAACTTGCTCCAAGTCCCATCTCTGCCAAGTGTCCCAGAAAAATACCATGACTAATGGTATCAAATGCTTTTCTCTGTGTATCTAATCTACCAAGGTGGCCATACTTGTCTTTGTTCCCTAACTAGGTCTGCATCGACAACAGGCTGAGTTCTGATCATGCTCTAGGACAAATATTCAGTTCTAGGGCAAACACATTCAGTTCACTCTTGGCCTATAGTGAGATGCAACAGCATGTATCAGCAACCCACATGAGGAAAGAATATTTGCCATCTGGAGTCATCCTTTGGCAGAAGCATTAATGCAGAAAAGATTATCTGGATGTTCAAAGTCTGAAGATTGCTGGCCCATATGACTACTGTGTATACTGTTACCCAATCTGTCCAGTTACAGTTCTGTGGATGAATGTGCAAGTGCGGGGATTAGCCTTTATCAATACAGTGTTTGAAGAATTATGTGATTGGTAACTCCCATGTCAATGGAGCAGTGCAAGATTTTACTATGAACTTTTCAGATAGCTGTAAAGTAGATATCTGAAGTCCTGATCAGTAAGTTTATATTATTTGTTTGTTTCCATCGTTTTCTTCAGTTTTGGTATCCAAGGTGTCTTACAAATGTTAAAACAGATAAAGCTAAAAGTAAACATTGTGCAAAAGTTAAAATATAAATAATCTATCAATTGAAGTGAAAGCAATTGAAAGCATGTCCCTTAAGGGGGGAAACCATATAAAAACAAATATAGCACATTATTAAAGACTCTTTCTTCACGAGCAATGTCCTCAAAAATATGCCATGGGAAAATTGGATTAAAATCCAGAGCACTGCAACCATCAGCCACACCACTGTGGTACCAGATATGTTAATATTTGCTAGTGCTTTTTGAATAAAAGTACAAAAAGATCATGAAAAGGAAAAAAGGGGTGTATTCTTATATTGTCTTCTTGCTGGTGCAAAGGAATATCTCTTTAAATGCCAAAATAGCATCTAAGGAAGAAGAACATGGCAAGAGCTTCAGAAATTCATGGTGAAAAATAAGACATAGTATTAGAGAATTCTTTTTCCCATTTGAAAAAGAACGTGAGTGGATGGGTGGAAGTGAGAGCACATGTAGGCAGCAAGAAGAAGACCAGATGGATTGTACAAAAAGTAGCAGCTATAATGTCACTTGTTGACAAGTACTACACTACTAGAAAAAGAAAAAAAATGAAATAAACCATAAAGTAAAGAAATCAAAAGACTTTATTGTTATTACTTTAAAAAAAAATCAGATGTATTGTCGAAGGCTTTCATGGCCAGAATCACTGAGTTGCTATAAGTTTTTTGACCTGTATGGTCATGTTCCAGAAGCATTCTGTCCTGACGTTTTGACTGCATCCATGGCAGGCATCCTCAAAGGTTGTAAGGTCTGTTGGAAACTAGGAAATTGTGGTTTATATATCTGTGGAATGTCCAAGATTGGAGAGAGAACTCTTGTCTGTTGGAGGTTAGGTGTGAATGTTTCAATTGGCCACCTAGATTAGCATTTAATGGCCTAGCAATTTTCAGGTTGTGGCTTCTTACTGCCTGGGGGAATCCTTTGTTAAGAGGTTAGCTGATTAGCTGTCTCAGATTGTTTCTTGTCTGGAGTTCTCTTGTTTTGAATGTTGTTCTTTATTTACTATTATGATTTTAGAGTTTTTTAAATACTGGCAGCCAGATGCAGGTGAAATGTCAGGAGAGAATGCTTCTGGAACATGCCCATACAGCCCAAAAACTTACAGCAGCCCACCAATCAGATGGTTATTTCTATTTCCTCTCCCCTAGATAAAAGTATGGTTTGCAATATTCTAATGAAAAAAGAGGAAGCCTATGATTCCTACTATGCATTTCAGATTTTTCTTTCTCTTTATTTACTTGTCAGCATACAAAACAGTTGCCGTGGCAAAGCATAGATCTTATAAAAGGTCCAAATAGGCAATAGCCAAGTAGAATGAGTTACAAATAACTTTTGAAACACTGTACCAACATTGTACCATTTTTGCCACTGGAAATTACATATCATTTATGCATAATTTTCTAAAGAATAGTTCATCTAGCAACATTCTTCTTACTTTCATTTGAGACCAGTCATTAATCCCATTGGAGGTACATCATAGTCCTCAGAAAACAGTGGTCAAAATTATTCTTTTGTTCTCCATGAATTCTTCTCATGATGCATTCAATCACACAACCTTTCGTGTTGGCCAAAATGTATTTTTGTCCCATGTCATTTTCCCCTTTGTATAAAAACACACTCTCTTCACAACTGATGAAAACCAGTTACATTTAAATTGGGTTGCCTGATTTAGATCCTACTTTAGCAAATGATTTCCTACTCATTTAACCCATTAAATCAATGAGATAATTTAACTAGAAAGATAATTACGGAAGCAATATAACCCAGCTTCATTCACAGTGATATAACTGAATCACTTCCTATAGATACATACTGATAGAAGAAATAAATTTAGTTTAGACATTTTATTCCACAGCAATCCAGTGTTTTGAAGGTATCTCATGAGCCACACAGCCCAACCAGTGAATTAGAAGGATTTCTTATCTTGATAGATATCCATCAAGTTTCCTCCCTTAAGTCAGGAGGAAATGCCACAACTTTATTGACTATTTTCCCACTAACTGTGAAAACATCATGTCAGACAAAAGCTTGGAGTCTTATTCTGAAATGATAGCTGAAAAGTAAATGATAAAGCATGAAAAATAAGTATATTTTATTTTTATTTTCAATATGAGGGAGCAAAAATTAAAGACAGACATACAGACTGTTCAACAACAGTGAAGTTAGGCACATTGGTAGAATAACAGAGTGAATTAGGTTGATTTGGAGCATACCAGATATAGAGTGTATTAGACTAGTCTGACTTTGTTTCAGGGTGTTTCTAAACAATCCAGAGACTTGGAAATAAAAATATTCTTCCATCATTAACATGTAAGAAAGATTCTAGAGGTTGTGGGTATTGGCAAAACAGGACTAAAGGAACATTGTGTGTGTGTGTTGTGAATGGGGTTAGCTGCATTTAGGAATAGATACTAATCCTAAGTGAAGAAATGCTCTCCACAACCCAGTTACTGATGGTTGGAATAGTTGTCTAGTGTCTCCCACATAAAAGTTGGTGTCCATTAATAGTGTCTCAGCAGAACTGGTGGCAGTGGTGAGATCGAGCGTGACAGTAACCAAGGTCGAAACTGAACAAGTTTCAGGTGATAGATAGCTCTTCAGATATAATTGGAAAGCTGCACCTAGATTGAATTTGGACTGTAGTTCTGGATAGGAGAAGAATGAGGTGCATACAAAAGTGAATCCAAATATTATCTAATCCCATAGATGCATTTTTGCATTTGTCCAACTTCCATTTCATTCAATGGGCTTTCACTAATCTCCCAGTAAAGCTCTAATAAGGACCTCATCGCATTGACAAAAATAAGTGTCCTAGGATGCTTAGAGCCTTCTCAGGGATAGAGCCCCATGGCAGCCATCACACAACGTTGTGTGACTTCCAGCTGTGGCTCCATCTCCAACCGAGGTGAAAGTGTTGCTGGCAACAGCCAAAAGATCTGCCCTTAAAGAAAGCAAAGGGAACTCAAGCCTGAGTTTTTCAGTTTCATGACAAGGAATCCTTCACAGGCAGGCATGTAGCTGGGGGGAGGGGCTTGAGGGGCTTAACCCCCCCCCCCCCGAAATTCTCATGGTGATCCACAAGAAGGCCTTACTGGTGCATTATTTAAACTGTTATATTTATTCATATCATGATCTGATCACCATACTCAATATATCCCATATGCATGAGGGTACTGGAGTAATGTTATGAAAGGTTTGCGAAGGTAGACCCTCTTTCACTCAGACTCAGCACCCCCCCCCCCCCCGAATCAAACTCAGCCCCCCCCCCCCAAAATCAAAATCCTGGCCACAGGCCTGTTCACAGGGATTGTCTACATGAACAAAACATTGGACTGAGTTTGAATCCAGCACTGCCAGTCTACAGGAAACAGAAGATGAGGTGATGGAGTAGCAAGGCTAATACATCTCAGTGTGACTAGACATCAATGCAGCTGTGAAGACCAGGATAATGCTCTGGGCTGTCTCTAGGTTAGACACAGCTGTGTAAACACAGCTACAGAGTCATACATGCATGAGCGTAGCAATAATAATAAAAATAACTTTATTTTTATAACTAACCTCCATCTCCCTCAAGGGACTTGGCATGCCTTACATGTGACACAAAGTGCCTAAAGCAACACATAAAATAAACAAACAATACAATACAAAAAAGCAAAACCAATAGCATATTACACAACAATTTAAAACTCGGAAACCTCCTCAATCGTTTTTATACTCTCTATCTTTTCCTCTTGCTTCTGCATTCTAGCATTTGCATATTAAACAAGACTAAATGGGTTGTTTTGTCAGATTAAGAACTGTTAATAATCATTTCGGTATGATTTTGACTGTGTGCTTTGTTTGTGACAATTATTATTTTACTCCCTTTTCTTCTGCAAATCATGTAGAGAGGGGACACATCTGCAACACAGAATAGCTTTTTCATTCATTATGCTTTCAGACAAGGATGCCACTGAAAGCATTTCAAAAGCTGTTGACAGGTGTCCTGGAAAAATACCAAAAGAAATTGTGCTCACCTGACCCTTTTCAAAATGTGCACAAGACTTTACGTTTTTAAGTCTTCTTTTGGAAGAGTCTCCATTCTCTCCGAATATTGTAATAAAGATTTCTGCATCTGTTTCTGATGCAGGTAATGTTCCTGTGTAGACACTGACTGAGTACATAACTTCTGTGAATGAAGATCAGTGAAAAAAATGTGACAAAGCTATTCAAGTGATGTAGAATAAGAAAGCAATCAACCAAATACTCAATATGCTTCTTTCTTCATAGTTTGCTACTCATAACTTATCACCTTATATTACTAAGAGACTGAAACTATGTGTTGTGCTGTAAAACTATTTAAAATTGATTTTAAAATCCACTGCTTTAAGTTCTATTCAAATCAGCAAAATGTAGAATAGTCCCTGCTGGGGGCAGTGCTTATTTTGTCCCAGAGATTTGCACCATTGTTTGATTCTTTCTTTCTTGCAGCCTCACCAGAGAGCAGCGGCCGTAGCTCCTTTTTGCAAACACCTTGCATCTGATGCTTGTTTCTTCCCTGGACCACTGTGCACCCTTCCCTTTAGGGCAGTGGTTCTCAACCTGCGGGTCCCTAGATGTTTTGGCCTACAACTCCCAGAAATCCCAGCTGTTGAAATGGGAATTGTGGGCCAAAACATCTGGGGATTTACAGGTTGAGAATCACTGGTCTAGTGTGAGTCCACAGACCAACACTTCAAAGAGTACTGGTACATATCACAGAAGTCATTAAATTGTCTGATTTCACTTTAAATACTTTCAAATCATTTCAAGACCACATATGTGGGAAATAATTTTCTTTTGGATCATAATACCCCAAACACCCAAGACAGTATTGCCTGAAATGGGAGAATGTGAGAGTTTGAGACCCCAAAGTAACACTCCTAAGCTGTGAAATGCAAGATAGCATCAATAATCAAACTCTTTAAAAGGATTTCATTTATATTGTGATTTGACATAAGAAAACTGATTTCTCGGTGCTGAGTTTTATATAGAGTTAACTAAGGTATTTTTTATTTTAAAAAATTGCTATTCTGTCTAAAGAAGCAAGCAGAACAGAACTACGTGTTGTCATCCAAGCATCATACTAAATGATTATTACTGTCTATATTGAAATGTATTAATGCAAATCGATGTGAAGAGTTGAGTTAGCATCTCATACCACTTTAATTGATAGTGGCAGCAATTATTTAACTGGCAGGCTCACAGCAAAGTCTGCTGATTTGGAACAAACAGCAGGACTTCAGCACAATTAATTTTACATTTTTTCCTACATGAAAATTAGCTGCAATGGATAGATGTTAGCTGGAATTATTTGCAATTCATCTAAATAAAAGAACATTTGTTTCTATTGATTTATTTAAAAAAACACAGATCAAGATTATTTGAATATCCATTCTGCAATAGTTGAATGATTTTTTTTCCTTGGCCAGATCTAGTTCAGATCTAACATTTCTCATATTTGAATAATGAAGACAGTTACACATCTGCAGTGCTCAAGTTTTTGGGATCATTGTAGATGGTGCTTTCTATTTTACACATTACTTATTTGTATATGGTACTGATAAATTAGACATTAACAAAAGATGTACCATGCTCATGCACTGGCAAATATTTGTGTTAAAGAATGCTCATTTTAGGATTTCTGAAATGCATATTGTGATAATATCTTTATAAGCCAATGAAAAGACGAATGAAAAACATACAAAAACTTGGTGCTAACATTATAAATTAAATCTTGGTTTTGAAAACTAGCAGTAAATTTTGGTGCATTTTCCATTGGACTAATAAAGTTTTTACCACTATATGGACTTCGTTTTACAGTTAACATGCCTATTCCTGCATTGTAACAACTTTAAGAAGTTCATGAATACTGTGATCCCATCCAAATATTCCTAGAAGTAAGCAATCATGAAATAATTGTAATTTACTTTTGACTAGATGTGCATAGGAGTGTGCCATAAAGGGTATTTCATTTTCCCTTGGAATCCAGTGGAAGGAATCCCAGGGAAGCATTGCAGCACACCCAAATACCTGGGATTTACCCTGACCTACTAGAAGCACTGCTTGAATATCAAGCAAAAAGTGGATGCTAGAAACAATATCATATGAAAGCTGACTAGCACAACCTGGGGATCACAACCAGATACAGTGAAAACATCTGCCCTTGTGCTACTCTGCTGCTGAGTACGTATGCCCAGTGTGGAACACATCTCGCCATGCTAAAGCAGTGGATGTGGCTCTTAATGAGACATGCCACATTATCACAGGATGTCTATGCCCTACACCTCTGGAGAAATTATACTGTTTAGCTGGTATTGCCCCACCTGGCATCTGCCAGGAAGTAGCAGCCAATAAAGAAAGGACCAAGACAGTGACATCTCAGACCCATCCTCTGTTCGGATATCGGTCAGCACGCCAATGCCTTAAATCAAGAAATAATTTTCTAAGATCTATAGAGAGTATGCATGTGCAGTGTGGAACTACTACACTAAAACAGTGGGTGTGGCTCTTAATGAGACATGCCACATTATCACAGGATGTCTACGCCCTACACCATTGGAGAAATTATATTGTTTAGCCAATATTGCACCACCTGACATCCACCGGGAAGTAGCAGCCAATAATGAAAAGATCAAGGAAGTGACATCTACAGCCCATCCCCTGTTTGGAAATCAGCCAGTATGCCAATGCCTTAAATCAAGAAATAGTTTTCTAAAATCTACAGAGATACTCGCAGGAACACCTCAGCAAGTAAGAGTCCAAAAGTGCCAGGCTAAAACCCAGAACCTCAGGCCATGGATGATACTGAATGAGAGACTCCCCCCTGGGCCCACAGAAGACTGGGAGACTTGAAAGACACTGAACACACTGTGCTCTGGCACCATGAGATGCAGCTCCAACCTTAAGAAATGGGGCTACAAACTGGAGTCTATGACATTTAAGTGTGGAGAAGAGCAAACCACAGACCACTTATTACAATACAGTCTGAGCCCTGCCACATGCACAATGGAGGACCTCCTTATAGCAACACCAGAGGCACTCCAAGTGGCCAGCTACTGGTCAAAGGCCATTTAGTATAATGCCAAGTTTTTTTTTTTTAAAAACTTTGTGTCTTTAAAATACATTACAATTGTAATCTCGGTTCACTTCTGATATGATAAATAAAACAATCTTCCTTTGGAAGCAAGTTTGGTATTCAAAAGTATAGTTTTGGAATATGCTACAAACTAGATTCTAATTTGTAGTATAGTAACCGCTTTAAGTTGTTTTGCAGCAAAAACAACAAAGCAACCTCTTGATCCTCAGAAACTAACAAAGATATGATGGCATACATTTTTGTAGACTAGAGTTTTCTTCATCAGATGGTAAAATAACAGTTCATAATACCCCACAATTTTCTTCTTAGCATCCTTCTCTCCCCCCCCCCCACCTCCGCAGCTAATGTTCTCAACTCATATTTTCCATGCAAATGCACCTGATTATTTTGACCTTAAACCCTAAAGTCTTATTGTATATCTAACACTGTCCAGAATCGAGTTAAATCATATCTACTGGGCTTAAAATAAGTTGAGAGGCCTTTTCCTAAACATATTCATTTATAACAAAATCTTACCGATTTCCAGATAAGTAGTATATTTATAACTTAAATCCAAGAGATATCAGTTGAGTTGAGTTAAATACACTTAGGCTGTATTCACATTGCAGAATTATAGTGGTGTGATGCCACACTAGAATTCTGGTATTAGTTGTTTCATGAGGTATTTAGGATGGAATCATGGCAGTCAAAGCAATGTTGAACTGCTACAGTTCTGCAGTTTGTGTGCTCTCTTACTTTCTGATGTAACTCACTGTGAGAAAAATGGCTTATGACATAAAGTTCTGTGATGTATTTATTTATTTATTTGTCATTTTCCAGTTTAAAACCACAAAAATATAGCAACAATAAATGAAATCTGCTTAGCTTGGATAACTCAAGCGAGACTACAAATGAATGACATTATTGTAGTGGGTTGTCTTTTATGGTGCGTTATTCATATATGTGCGAGTTGCCTAAAACCAAACACAGTTTTCAGCCTTTGTACATCCCTGCTGAAAATTCAGTATCTCACACGTGCTTTAAACAAGGCATGTCAAAATAATCACAAGTCTAGAATATATATAATCCCGCATCATCCGTTCTGCACTGGAAATTCCTGACAGAGAGAGCCTTTCTTTTGGCTTGTTTTGAGAGCTGGCAACATACCCTTAAGTGGTGCTACATCTGGTCTGACTGCTGCTAGCTCTGTCACAGTCTCTGACCCATCTTCTTCAAAGAGCCATTGGTTTAAAGGGTGAAAGCTCAGCTCTTCTTTAGTATCCAAGTCTTTCATTCGAAGCTGCAGGACAATGGATGATGGAGGAAAAGAGACAACAATCTGAATCGTTTTTGCTTTCAAACAAAGGCTACTTAAATCTCTGGAGGTTATGGCTGTAAGACATGAATGTCTTACAGGCATATGCAGTTCACAGTCACAAACAGGGCTGCCATATCCCAGAGCCAAAGCCTAAGATCTTGAGATGATCCCATTGTCATGAGGATGGCCCCAGGAAATATTACAAGGAATTAATATCATTATCATAAGGGGACAGCCTCATTATCATAAGGGGACAGCCCAGTTGTGCAAAGTTTGACATTCAAATAAAATTCACAAAGTGCAATACTCTTTCTCTGAGATTTTCTAGAAAACTGGAAAAGAAGTACTAGGGTCTGAAATTCAGGCTCAGGGCACCACTTAGGCTAACAAACCCATGAGTTTGGTTAGGCTGGAGATTAATGATCAAATTATCATTTGATGTTTTGTTATGCTCCACTAAGAATTCCTCCAGCGAATCATTCTGAATGCTTTCAGGCTCAAGAGCACAGGAAGCCAAGAGTGGAGATTATGGCCAAATATGTCACTGATCATGATTTGATGAACTTAATTTTAGTGGCTGATTTTTCCTGACAGTTGCAAGTGAGAAGGATAATTAGCAGCCAAGGATTTTGACAGCCAACTGGGTGCTGAGAAAGGGACTTTAATGACTAGCACTCTAATTTTTGTTTATATATTTCTATTCTTTATAATTTTATAGAGTTGCATTATTTAAATTATTAGTAGTGTTGGCACATTATAATATTTTTTCTGTTTTTAGTAGTACCTGATTTAATTTTATCATGAGTCACCTTGACTCACATCTCAAAGCAAAAAGGCAACAACAATGAAAGAAGGTACAAACAACAGCCTAAGTATTCATTCTATCTTCTCTGCTTCCAAAATCCGTTTAGGGATTGCATCTTTATTACACCTAATAAATAGACAGAACATGTCTTTGCAAACTTTTGAATAAGGAATGAGAACAGAAAGGGATGACGACTGAACAAATGATCAAACACTCATCAACCATTAGTTTTGGTGGGAACACAAAAAGTTCCTCAAACTCTTCCTAACAAGTAGAATTTGGGCTCACCCAGACAGGCCCATATCCTGAGACCTGTCTCGGGTTTTACCAGAGACATCCAAATGATGCATCTGGTAAAACCAAATTAATTAAACACCTGGTAAGATCTGGGCCTTACCAAATGTAGGGCCTGTGTGGATTGGGCCCGGGGAGCACATTACGTGACCCCCGAGGCCCAATCCACAGAGCCATCTTGATGTTTTGGAATTCAAAAAACCAGGAATCCAAAAAACCAAGAGGGCACCCACCTCAAACCCCAAATTTACCGATAAAAAGTAAAAAAAAAAATCTGGCCATGATTATGTTCCTCTTCATGCCCTCCTGGCATTAGGAAATTATGTGCAGGAGACAGGGGCAAGAAGGGAGCCCCCCCCCCCTTTCTAGGCACATCATTTCCTTGTGCCAGGAGAGCATGAGGAGCAACATAATGGTGGCCAGGTAACTTTTCTTTCTTTTTTAGGGATACATTTAGGGGATTTTGGAGTGGCTGCATGCCACCCTGTAGCCACCCTCCCCAAGAAATTGCATGTAGCCACCCTCCCCAGGAAAGCCCAGGCTTTTTGGCAGGGGTGGGGACAAAAATCTGCACTAAAACAAGTTTTTAAAACCCGCTTTGGTGCAGATTTTGGGATGGAAGCGCCCTTTGGCTGCTCCCATATGGCAAAGTCTTTGATCAACAGGTACAGCTATGCCCCCATCAACAAAGGAGATGCCATTTTGGACATTAATTTTTAAACTGAAAATTTGGAATCTGAGACAGAAATAACATGGGAAGAAGAAGAATTGGTTGCTACAACGCAAAAAAGGGAACCATTTCAGCTATATATATATATATATATATATATATATATATATATATATATTGCATATGGGAAAGGGGAAATCCCAGGTCTTGTCTAGGGCTCATTAGAAGATTTATTCCAAAATATATTCAGGCATATTCACCAGCCTCAGTTTTTCTTAAATCCCCCGTGCAGGGGGAGCTGGTGACAGGTTCGTCTTTGCTGTCTCCTTTTCTCACTGTTTCATGGCATACCCATGCTCACTATGAGATTCTGGAGGTAGCCGCTGTTTATCTTATTTGATATAGATAGGCACACATGGCTACAGTAGGATCAGCTGAAGTGGAATCCAGCTCTTTCCCAGCTCAAGGTTTTATTGTGTTGTTTATTGTTAGACACACTGCTGCAATTTGAAACCAAGCATCTATTTTTCCCGGCCTTTCAGTACCACCCCCCTCCCCAATGCTATGTTGCTAAAGCAACCTCCAAGTGAGACAAAGTGAAGGGCTGGATGCATATAAATAAACTTTACAAAAAAGAGTACCTCTTTGGTACAGGCATTGTTAACTTAAATATGCATGTATTCAAAAGAATTTGATATGCAGATGAAATTAAATGTAGGGCTCCATATAGACACTAGTTCTTCTCCATCTGGCTATTATAGGACCAGGTTACAGAAAATGTTTTTTCAGATATGGGAACTACAGTGATTTACATATCTATTAAAATTAATTTCCTTATTTTGTATTTATTTTAAGAATTAGATTTTACTAACATTATTGTAAGAACTTAACATTTTTGATGGCCCTTTAATACTACTTTTATTATATCTTTGCCAGGATGAGTGAATAATCTTTGCAAAGCAAATGGCACCGTTTATACATAAAAAGACTATTTTTACATTTCATAAAAGTGAAGTTGTCAGTTATAGGAAGAGGATTCATATATATAAAGCTACAGAACAGAAAACAGCATATGCACAAACATCACAGATGAATATTCACAATACCTTGTTCTATCTTTTGAAAAGAATAATCAAGAGTATTTATGGGTTAAACATTTTAAGATCCTATTAAAATATGTGACTCTATTTGCATTTCCAATATACCTCAAAAATGAAAACATATTGTTCTTAAAAACCTCTTATTTCTTCAGGAACTTATATGCCTCCTCTGATGTTCCATCTCCATCATTTTAAAACTTTCATCATTTGATACTAATGGCTTCAAATGTCTTTACTATTTGATACCAAACACTCCAGAACAAGGGGCCTTTTTGAATCATTCTATTTTTTCTTAGCAGATAAATTATAATGAACTTGAATAGCCAATTTATTTATTTATCATGTTAGAAGCAAATTGAGGGTACAGTTGTAGTGTATTTAAAAATAGAAACAAAGTGAAAAACTTGGCATTATACTAAATGTCCTTTGACCAGTAGCTGGCCACTTGGAGTGCCTCTGGTGTTGCTATAAGAAGGTCCTCCATTGTGCTTGTGGCAAGACTCAGACTGCATTGTAATAGGTGGTCTGTGGTTTGCTCTTCTCTTCACTCGCATGCCATGGACTCCACTTTGTAGCCCCATTTCTTAAGGTTGGATCTGCATCTCATGGTGCCAGAGCACAGTCTGTTCAGTGTCTTTCAAGTCACCCAGTCTTCTGCGTGCCCAGGAGGGAGTCTCTCATTCGGTATCAGCCATGGATCAAGGTTCTGGGTTTTAGCCTGGCACTTTTGGACTCACGTATTCCTGCGAGTATCTCTGTAGATCTCAGAAAGTTATTTCTTAATTTAAAGCATTGGCGTGCTGGCTAATATCTGAACAGGGGATGGACTGGAGATGTCACTGCCTTGGTCCTTTCATTATTAGCTGCTACTTCCCAGTGAATGTCAATATCAGCTAATTCTAATGGCCAGTTATAATAATTGCCTTCTGGTCCTCTAAAGATTATAGCCTCATATTATACTATGATTTAATTTATCAACAGCATTCACACAAAAATAAAAGTTGGATTAAGTCTCACTCATGTAACTCATGTGAGGACCCTCTGTAATCAAAGATACAACCAGGGATCACTTTACACGTCCAGTGGCAGGAGATGGTAGCACTCCACTGTGAGGTGTGGGGAATCTGGCACCCCAAGCCTTACCTTGCCTACCAGCATGGCGATTATATGGGGGAAAATGTAAAGTTTGCATGGTGTGCATGGCTTCCCCACATAGATTGGGCTACATCGGAGATCTGGGCAGTGGTGGCACACCAGTTCAGCTCCTCAGCACCCATGGAGCTGACACAACATTGTGTGAACAGAGCCAGATGGCTATGTTGGTGACTGGGGCTAGACTGGCATTTGCCGTCATATCTAGTCCCATATGGTGAGGTCAAAAAACAAGCAAGTAGTTCAATTCACTCACCATTTTAATTGATTTCAACTGCTCTTCTAATCATGGTTTATTTTAGATCTTCCAAATCAAAGACTTAGAGAAGACTGAACTTAGGACAACTGATAAGTTGTATATCTTTTTAATCAGGATTGCAAAGCTGTAGTACCAACTGGAGGCATACATTCCAATGGCATACAGGAACAGGACTGGTTTTACCAATTTCATTTGACCAATTTTTTTCAAGTTGAGATTTAATATATATCTTTTGTGCTTTATTAATCTTGAGATTATTAATATTAATTGGACTTTTCTGGGAGACTTAAGTTGTTGAATTTTGGCCACTTAGACACCATCTTATGTTTTACCAATAGCTCTTGATTCCACTATAGAACAGTCTCTCAAAATCTGTTTTTGTCTGATGTCATAAAACAAAAGGGCACATCATCATTTTCTGAATGAATCTCAAGTTTGGGGAAAGAAGTATTTCTGTGCCAAGTTTGTAAACTTGGCACAGAAAAACTACTCAAAACTATTTTTAAAGACTGAAAATGTATTTTTTTGAGTGTGAACAATTTCTAATGTGAAGATTTATGTACAGATGACAATCTTTGCAGTTCAGGACTTATGCACAAACTTTGCATGTGGTTGCTTTTGAAAGGAAACAACATTTTCTATGTAGAAAATATTTCTAAACAACAATATATTTTCTGTGCAGAAAATGTTTTCTACACAGAAAATGCTGTAACTGGGGTCTTATTCTGTGCAAAATTTACATGTCATTGATTTGCACAGAAAATGCTTGGGACTTTTTTGTAGTGAAATGTTTGCACATGTAGTGAAAAGTTTGCACCTCACAGCCTCTGAGGATGCTTGCCACAGATGCAGGTGAAACGTCAGGAGGGAATGCTTCTAGAACATGGCCATACAACCCGAAAAACCTACAACAATCCATTTTGCACATGGTTGAATAATTTTTCTGTGCAGGAAAGAGCTTTTTCTGGGGCGTAAATGTCATTTTTCTGTGTAGAAAATGCTGTTTCTTGCAAAAGAAAACCCCCAGTAATATTCAAATTTTGTTCAGAAAATGTTCCATATTGTGAATGCACTTTGTTTCATAGCTGTGAAGATTTTCTTGCAGCAGGAAAAATATGGTGAAAATTACACATTGCTTCCTTTGAGAAGAAGCTTAATGGAGAATTGTATCTCTACTATAAATAGAATAGTTGTAAAAAATTGAAAATCATTTCATTTAAATGGGATTGGTCAGTATCCAGTGCTGTCAAATAGAATGAGTATAATCTCTTCTCCTTCTTGAAGCTCTCCCATGTGACCCAAAACACCATTAAAACAGTTCAAGAGACCAGCTTTATTCTGTGGAACAGATTTTGAAACACGAGAGAAGACCAAGGGGACAGCATAAACCAATGGTGTCATAAGTGGACTGTGACTTTTGATACCTTAACGTTTATGGATAGGCAACTTATAAAGTCAAAAATATAATAACATAATAACATGGAAATTAGTTTTCAAATTATTATGTAAATAGAAAGCTTTCTTTTTAGATGTTATTTTATTGAAATACCAAATATTGCACATTATAGTACAGAGGGTAATATAAGTTCATGTGAGACAATGCATGAAGTACCTTGGAAAGTTTGATTCCTTTAGTCAAATGTGGGCTGGATAACATTAATGAAATCTTTGTTATGCTGCCAATATCACCAACACTCAACTGGTCAAGAAAAGAAAATATTGTTAGCTGAAGTGTATTTATGCCACACTCTTATTTTGATTGCAGAAATCCTTTAAAAAAAACAAAATCTTAGCTTAGATTTGTCGGAATCGTAAAAGGGCCTACACGAATAGGCCAAGATGAGAATTTAGAATGATGAGATACTTGACATTCATTTGACACAAAAACTGTGGACTATTAGTTCAAGGTCGATAAAACAGTGAAATCCAAATAATATTAGTGGTTAAAAAAACCATTGGATAAACTACTTTGGTTTATTCAACATCAGCAAAACTCCCATTTGTCAGTTCCCCTTTTCAAACTTAGTTGTCACACCCAACACTTATATTTTACTACTCTCAGATGCAATGGTCATGACTGTTCACAAAATAACCATTATCATTTCCAGAAACTTGCTAAGGAGATACCAATTTCTAAAATAATTTAGGTATCAATGCTGAAAACTCAGATTTCAAATGGTGGCCAATATATGTATCCTTGTATGAAATATTCCTAAATGTTTGGGAATGGTCTGTGCTGTAATTTGTTTCATGATTTTGCTGATTTCTGAAAATCTGCTTATGTATGGACAGAAGCCTACTTAAATGTAATAATATAGAATACATTTAATAAGGGACATTTAATAAGAGTTACCATTATTTTATGTGTGGTGTTTTACCATTCAAAGTACTAAAGTTATTTTTGTAGGCATGTCTCATTTCTAACAGTTGTTCATAAGGATCATGGAATTTGGTGCCAGTTGGCGGCTTTCAATAAATCTACTCCAGCTTTATTTCAGAGGAGAAACTATACTGCATCATTAATACAACTTGATACTGCTTGTAACAGCCATGGTTCAATAATATCAAATCATGGGAGTTATAGTTTTACAAGGTCTTTGGCGTGCTCTGCCAAAGAGTGCTTTGAGTTGCCTGAGGGCTGAGAAAAGCGGTATATAAATAAATAAATAAATAAATAAATAAATAACTGCTGGTACCTCACCAAACTAAAGCTCCCATTATGCCACAGCATTGAGCCATTAAGTAGTACTATCTATTAATTCTGTAGTGTACACCCCAGGCTTTAAAGGAGTTTCCTAAGATGCTGAACCCAATTCCAAGAACAGGTTCAGGATCTTGGATAGCTCCTTAATATCTACAATAAAATCCTGATTTATCAACCTTGTATATGAACTTTCCTTGTTTCATATCCTTTGGGAATAGAAAAAGTTTTATATGCTGGATAGCACTCTGGTATCGTTCTGACAATTTCATCAATGTAGCAGAATGAAACAAAGCATGAGAATGCAAAATAAAAAGGGTACCAAATGTAAATTAGAAACTCACAAGAAATGGTTCATTTTCAAAACTGTTAGCTCTCTTTGGAAGAGACTTCCCCTTGGTTCCAAATACAAGCACTTCTACATCAGGCATTTTTTCTGGAACATGGGCACAATCCATCCACACTCTCCACTGTCCTTGGCTTCTAGCACCAAAATCTTTAACTGAGCCAGGTATTGCAATGGCTTCTTAATGAAAAATAAATATAAATCCACAATGATATACATTTCAGCTTAAAGGATAATGGAAATCCCCAAATTACTTCTCAACGCGCCCCTTTTTTTCAGTTTCCATTATCCACTTTTATATCAAACTTTAGTTCTACCATAACATGTGTCATGTAGAATAACACTCGGGATCACATGGTTTATATCCTGAGTTTTTGAGAAGAGTACAAGAAGTTGCCCTCAGAGTACTATTTCAGTTGCCCTGAAATAGTACTTTGTACAGTGAAAATGACAATGCTCAAATTCCACTATCCATAATTTTTGATCTTTGGGGTACTTCTTGAATGGCTTAATATATACAAGTGATTTTTGAACTTTAATTTTCCCCACACCTGATTGGCAATGTCTTGGGGAATTTATTTATGGATAAACATGCTTAAAAGTGTGTGTATCCTCCAGAATGGACTTTCATAAATCAATAAATCAAAAATGTTACCTTGCAGTGGAATTGCAGTTTCTGTAAAACCTTTCTTTGAATGCTTACTGATCCAGTTATTGTGAACAAAGGTGTATGAGATGAAAGGGTAACATTCTTCTTTTATTACAATCTTTTCTAGGAACCAATCATCTAGAAGAAAAGCAAATGTCATAATTGGAGCATGTCTTGAAGTGTGTGATGTCCTCCCAACTCCAGGGATTTCTGGATGATACGAATTATCTATTGGGTGAGGGAGGTATCCCTGTTGGTTCTCCTGGATCTCTCAGTAGCTTTTCATACCATTGGCCATGGTATCTTCTGGGTTGTCTCACTGGAATGAGACTGGGAGACACTGTTTTATAGTGGCTCCAGTCCTACCTGGAGGGCCATACCCTGAAGGTGGTGCTGGAGGACTCCTGTTGGAACACCTGGCCATTGTCCTATGGGGTTCCTCAGCATTCTCTTTTGTCCTCCATGCTGTTTAACATATACATGAAACTACTGAGAGAGTCATCTGGAGTTTTGGAGTTCGGTGCCACTTATCTAAAGATGACACCCAAGTCTACTATTCCTTTCCACATAACGCAAAGGAAGCTGCCTTGATCCTAAACAAGTGTCTGTAATCAGTAATAGACTGGATGAGGGCAAACAAATTGAAACTTAATCCAGACAAGACAGAGGTACGCCTGGTCAGCTTGTGCTGAATTGGGGTCATACTCCCCCTGAAGACACATGTTCACCATTTGGGGGTCCTCCTGGACTCAGCATTGAACTTGGAGGTCTAGGTGTCAGAGATAGCCAGGAGGGCCTTTGAACAATTAAAACTTGTGTGTCAACTGTACCCATTCCTTTGGAAGCCAGATCTAGCCATGGTGGTACATGCCTCATTATTTATTTATTTATTTATTTATTTATTTATTTATTTAAAACTTTTATATCCCGATCTTCTCACCTCCATAGAGGGACTCAGACTGGCTCACAGCAAGGATTCAATGCTACTAATACAAGTTAAAACATCATACAACAATACAAGATTAAAATACATCTGTATCTGATTGAGCACATTTCTACCTCCAAAAACACATATTATAATGCAGCAGTTTCTGGTTAGAATCCAGAGGAGCTATTTAGGTTTTATAGAAACAAGCCTTTATAATATATTTACTTCAGCACACCCAACTGCTGAGAATGTAAGTCAGTGTCAGGATGTGTCTGTACCAGCTAAACCGACAAGCTGCTTCGTCCACTCCATGCCAGTTTGGTTGGGATGGGAGTAGAGCACTGGCTTCTGATAAGAGCCATCTGGACTGGGGAGGGCGGGGAGAGACCTGGGAATTATAGTATATTCTGTGGGAATGGAATGTAGCAGTTAGAAGTAGATAGTAGGAGGGATCATGGGCCAACTAAATGATATACTACCAGTTTGGCAGGAAATAGTCAGAACTAGGTTTCCCTTCTCCATGGTAAGAAGGAAAATAAAGCTGTTTCCAAGGATCTGCCTTTGTGAGCATGCTTTTGTTTCTGAGATCTTCCAGCGTCTGACAGTCAGTTCTAGATGGTGTACTTCTTAGTTATCAAAATGCTGCTGAGAAAACTTCAAAGTATGTGGTGTGATCGTATGTTCTCACTTCAAAATGACAATTTTTCTACTTTGAACAGTGGCCTTTTTTCTTTTTACCATGACAAACTAATATTAACCATTCTGGTATTTGCTGCAAAAAGCTCAGTATTTGTAGATCTTAACTTTACAAACCATACCTTTGTTCAAGCTTCTAAATCCCACAAGGACTTGGTTCAGCTTCGCAAGGTATACTGCTTTGATTCTGAAAACATCCACCTGTGGTTTGGGAAGAGATACTATTGCTGGTTTGTAAGAAGCATGAACCATCTGTAACTAACATCCAGGAGGAACAGTAAAATATAAACACTGCCAAAATCTTACTTGGAAATTTTTGTGTTTGTGCAGTATATGAATATATAATTTCCTGTAGGATTTTATTTTAGAAAGCTTTAACATATTTAAAATGCTGGTTTAAATCCCAGAATGAAATCCAAATCTGACATATAGCTTTTTCTGCCCCTTTCTCCCAGAAGATTTTACAATAAAATAAGAATTGGTTCTCCAGCACTGGAAAATTCTGTGAGGAATAATTTCTTTTTGGCCTGCCATGTAGAAAGCCCTAAATTGTATACTGCAAAGGGCTATGTATGGAAACTGAACTTTGGTCTGCAGATTGGGAAGATTTTAGAAGCCTGAAAATTATTGCAGTGAGGAAAATGTATCCTATCCAATTGGCTTTGGCCCTATATCCTCAATCAATATTGAAATGGAGCCACAAGATGCCCCCAAATTAGCATTTCCAATTTTTGTTTTAAATATCAGTGGTTTGTATGACTTTGCAAATATTAGGGCAGTGCTTCTCAACCTTCCAAATGCCCCTTAATACAGTTCCTCACGTTGTGGTGATCCCCAACCATAAAATTAATCTATAGTTATCATTTACTATCGCCTTGTGTTTGCTCTGAAACATTTTCTATTGATTTTTGCAAGATTTGAGGTGTAAACCCAGGGTATCCTTATCCAGTATAGAAAATGCTGCAGTCCTTTACATATTTGTCTCTTTTCTCCATATCTTTAATGAAAACAACATTTGTTATCGAATTGGATTTTCCTTTCTAATAATTGAATCCTCTGTGTGGCACCTTTCTCTTTTGTGAGATCCTTTCTTTATTATTAAGTCTCAATCATGACAAAAAGCTGTAGTTTGGTGAGGCATTATAACTAATTCAGCTGAGCAGGCTGAAGGCCTTGTGAAAACACAATTCCCATGATTCCAGAGCATTGAGCAGTTAAAGTAGTAACAAACTGTGTTAATTCTACAGTGTAGATGCATCTTAAGTGAAATCAGAGTGGCTTGCAATGACTGAAGCTTGGATTCTATAATAAGAAATTATGATATGAATATTCAGACTATAATTTTTTGGAAGTAAAATGTTCTATAGGCGACATAGGTGTTGTTACAAATATGAGTATAAGAAATGCATTTTTACCTCTCCTCTGCAAAAAGTGATTGGGCCATTTTCAGAATTATTAAGCTGTTGTTTCCCAGAGTCACCTCTCTCCCCTTGAAGGCAAAGATAGACATCACCACTGGAATCAGCTTTCTTTTTGTCTCCGGTATATATGTGGATTGAATATTCCACTACTGGAGTAAATAAAATAAAATATATTATAATAATGATTTAACTCTATTTATCACTTCTTAAAAATAGGCTCACTTACCAGGCTGTTACTGTATTTTTATAGATGCATATTAAGGAACAAAGGGATATATCACCCTTAAGGATCAACCACCATAAATATGTCATAACTTCACTATTTTTCCACATTTATTGCACTGAACATACCTGATTATTTCTAATCAAGTGTTTCAACTATGCAAATCCTTTACCATTCTTCCTCACACGATAGTATGGATAGTATGGATAATTGCAGTAGGTTTTCTACTAGCAATGGGAGAAAACAAATATCCCATTTTAGTATTTTCTCAATATTTGAACAACCTGAAGTGTTGTGGGGTAATTATTCCATGGAGAAAACCATTTTGCACAAAAAACTACAGCAGGCATTCTGCTCAGTATGTATTATGTTGCAAGCCAGATGTACAAAATAGTAAACATTGCAATTTATATTGATGGTCATAGCACCATTGTGATGATGGGAAATGGCCATCTATTATACTTGCTGATGGGGTTTCCTGACTATCCGTAACCTATTTTGCAACCCGAGAATTAATAATAATGAATATTCTTTCCACCTGTAGATTAGATCTTCTAACTGCTGTTGTGACAAAATCAAATTCTATAGTAAAACACAATCAGTTCATAGGCCCCTCAACATGAAACAGACCAGAAAGAGACAGTAACAGCTAAGACATTTCATTAATTATATATAGAACCCCAGTCAACTACATTTTACAAGTTCAGAAATGCAAATGAAAATTCATAGCATATGCTATGTGAAAGTCCTAGGTGTCTATTAATGAGTCACAGCTATTTACTACCATTACATAGCAGCTTTCTTCCATTTTATTTCATCCACGGAACTGTAAACAGTAGGCCTGTGCGGTTTCGTTCGTTAATTTCATAATTCGTTAAACATTCGTTATTTTTTGCATTTACGAAACGATAACAAAACACTTTTTTAAACCCGGAAGGGTTTAAAAATAACGAAGCGGCATCCCCCATCCTTTTAACGAGTTTCCGCCCGTTTCGGAAATTGGATGGAGGATGCTGCTGGTGCCTGGGAGCCAATCCGGCGCTCCGGCGCCCCTTTCTCTTTGCCCCGCCCCTCCCCCGCGAGCGCGCTTTGCCTCCTTGCTTGCTTGCTTGGCTTGGCTTTCCCTTCCCGGCAGAAGGATGGCGAGCAGTGCAGCGACTGCTGGAGCCGCGGCTGCGGCGGCCGAGAAGGAGGCGAGCCAGCAGAGCAGCCTGGGCGCCTACTCGCCCGTGGATTACATGAGCATCACCAGCTTTCCCCGGCTGCCCGAGGAGGAGGAGGCGGCGGCGGCAGGAGGAGGAGGAGGAGGGGGCTCGGAGAGCTGCCTCCGCTCCCGCAAGGAGGAGGATGCCTTCCTCGGGGAGCAGGAGACCGGTGAGAGCGGGAAGGAGGGAAACACCCGCTTGCCTGCCTGCCTCCATCCTCCCTCCATCCACGCATCCACGCATCCATCCTCCTCCGAGCATCTTCTCCCTTGGATCATGCCCCCTTCTTCCATGGTGCAGGCTCCCCTGCAGCCAAGGCCACCCTCCTCCTTGCCTCCCTCCCTCCTTCTCCCCTTTCCCTCCTCCCTCCCATGTCAAGCATCCTCTGATCTTCACCAAGGACTCCCAACCTCCTCCTCCTCCTCCTCTTCCTCCTCCTCCTCTAAGGGCTTTGGAGTTCAACTCCCAGTGGGGACCCCCAAAGGTCATCCAGTCCATCCCCCTTGTTTAGAAGCAAGTTGAGGGAGCCCCCTTAACGAATCGACCCCGCGGCAATAACGTAAGCTTCGGAAATGTTTTGCGCATGCGCGCGGGGGTCCGCCATCTTAACGAATCGATTCGTTAATATTTACGAAATTTTCGTAAATATTAACGGATTGTAGGGGGGAAATTTTGTAATTATTTTAAATATCGAAACAAAAAAACACCCCAATTACAAATCGATTTTAGAACCAAATTTTTTCTTGATCAACCAGCCCTAGTAAACAGTATATATGAGTTAGCTCAGATGGTTTCCTCATATAGACATTTTTCAAACTTATTTAGCTTCACCAAATTGGCTATATAATGATTGATCCCTGAATCCAAACTCCCCACCTACTACCCTCAAAAGCAAGTAATTAAATAAGAAAGTGTGCTGCTTGAGATGCACAGGAATTTCTCTCTGCAAAGACCGTTCTCTCATCTCTATGTTACTAAGTACTACTTAAGCAATACTGAAGAAAAGCAATGTGATATAATGGTTAGAGGGTTAGACCATGATTTAGGAAAGCCATGTCCAGGCTCCTGCTGAGCTCATTCTGTGACCTTGGACTAGTTATTCTCTTCCAGCCTAACCTTTCTCACAGGGTAAGGAGATGGTGGAAGACATCTAGATTCTAGGCCTGTGTGATCAATGTAAAAAAATCTTTCAGTACTTATTACTAAATTAGGCTGTGGTGGCGAATTATTTCTAACGTGTTTCAAAAATATCCGTATCATAACTATAACAATAAATGAAAATTTTATTACTTTTTCATTATGCAATTGCGCTAATTTCTCCCAACATTTTTAGAGCTATTGGGATGAAGCTTGTTACAATGGTAGAACAGATTTACCACTTTTACCCCCACCCCAAGTTTCAGAATGTTTCACACGTCCATTAATTTGGGGGGATTTTAAAAAGTTTTATGAATAACATTTAAAAAAAAAACTACAAGAGCTATCTCCTTGAATTTCTATATTCAGTGATACAACATAACCAGGGCATCACACCCCCCTCCCAAGTTTCAGAAAGATTTGGACATCCACTGATTTTTAGGGATTTTGATCAACATAAACTTAACAATACTATCTCACTGATATTACCCCAAGCACTATCCAGTCTCACTCCCTTCTGTCAGGCCGTCAAAGCATAGTCAAAGCACCCTCAACAGATGCCCAGATAGGAAATTTTGGAGTTATTGCCTCTCAATTTTGCCTACCTCACAAGATTGATTCAACTCCCTTTCATCTCAAAATCCTTTTAGAGAATGAACACAGGTTTTCCCCACCAAAACTTCCAGGGAGGAGGAGAAGAGACAAGATGGAAAGCAGAATTCTGGGAAATGTAGTTTGGAAAGGCGAGGACCCCAAATGGCATAGAATTTGAAAGGTCCTACCTTAAACTACATTTCCCAGAATTCAGCTCACTTCACATGTTAAAGCCTCAGTGTTAGTGTGGTCTCTGCCTATTTCTCTCTGGGCCAGCCATGTGCTAGAGGGGCATCTTCCTTGTCTTGCCATCCAGCCAGATATCCTGGCCACCCACCCCAGGCTCCCCTTGCTGCCCCCTTTGGGGAAAAAGAGTGGGGCTTCTCCCTTCACTGTGGCATCACCATCCTCCTCAGGACCCTTTGGGGGAACCAAACTCAGCCCTTTTGAGGGAGAAGTGGTGCCAGTGATGGACACCTGGAGCCATTTACAAGGCTTACATAACTCTTCTGAAAGTCATAGGTCAGCATTTTGAATCTTAAGTTTTTTACATGGGCGCCCCTTGCGTTACTTAATATCCCATCGCATGTATGAATCTTACAAAATAGATATGACAAACAAGGCACAAACAAAATTTTGCACAGTCGTACTCTATACCAGAACTCATTGGGTATGGCCATGTGACTAATGTTTATTTAGCTAAAAAACAAAGAAGTTCATATTTATCTACACAAAACATATATTTCTAATCATTATGGAAAGCCTTGCTGTTTTCCAGTACAGTTTCTTTTTATCAGTCAGTGCAACTATCTTGGTGTATATTTATGTAACCTGTGTTTATCTCAGTTGAAGAGTTCTCATCTTTTACATCACACTCTCAATTCATTTGTTCTCTCTACATAAACGTTCACTGATGTACTTACAGACTGATGCCCTGAAGCAATTTTGCTAATTAGCTTCTCTAGGAAAAAAATGACCTAATTAAATTTGCATAAAACCCAGGATTAATTTACTCACATATATAGTTTCCTTACATGCAAGAATTATATGTTCAAGCAAAGGAAAAGAGTTGTTGGGGAATAAATATCTTTCTTCCTTTCTTCCTTTCTTCTGACATGTATAGGTGAGTCCAGCCTATTCAGCTTCTGATTGGTTTCTGCAAATTTACCCACAAAATCTCCACAAATCATATCAAGCTCATATGAACAGTAAACTCAACTAGATCCAGCAATCACTTGGGCAGAGAGCATCCTGGCTTCCCAATACCTATATTTACTTGAGTCTAATACACACTTAAGTTTTCAAAACCCTGAAACCAAAAAAAGTATTTGCTGGCAAATGTAAGGCAAAAAGGGCACTTTCTGTAATTTGGCCAAAAAAGGTTTGCATCATAGTTGCTGTATGCTTAAAATTCCTTCTTTAAAAATTGTTAGAGCACTAAGCTTCCAGCGATGGAAAGAAAAACCTTGAGGTGCATCTCTGCTATAAAATGATTCCACTTTAATAGCACTGACTTAATGAAATCATTTAATTTTACAAGGCCTTGAAATTTCTCTGCCAAAGAATGCTTAGTGGCTCACCAAACTACAAAACCCAGGATTGCATAGCATTGAGCTGTGGCAATAAATTGAAGGTGATATCTCTCAAATAGGAGCTCCAGGTGCCTCTGAAGCAGCTTCCCTTTTTGCTTTGTCTCACCACTAGGATTATTATATTAAGCAAATCTAATGTGCACCCTAACTTTGGCAAAGTAATTTAGTCAAAAAAGGTGAGCATTAGATTCAAGTAAATAAGATAGTTCTTTTTTAATTATCAGGAGAAGAAAATATGGATGGAAGCCCTCATTCTGTTTACCGGGAAGTTACTCGAATTGGGAGGAGTATTGCTGTTTTCATTCAGCTAAGATTCAGCCCATTGACTACAATGGGAAAATTTAGAGGCTCAATCCTTACTCATTTTAAGGCACATCTGCATGAAACCTACCTAAGTTTTAGACTCCATTTACAACTGCAGGGCTGCCAAGTTTCAGAACAATTCACCAATCTACTGATTTTTTTTAGAATTATTATAAGTTTTTACTATAACATTTTTCAAAATAAAACAAACTGCAAGAGAGGGTTCTGGGAATTGTAGCTGCTGGTTGTGTCCATTCTCAGCCAATCAGAGAATGGACACAACCAGGTATTTTATCGGCTGAGAGCCAACTTCAACTTTTATCATGCTCTGAGAGGAACTCAAGAGACTTTTCAATGCCTGTCCTAAGCAAGTGCTGCCGGGAAATTGGGTTCCCAGCAGGGCCCTCTCAGTAGGAGGAGCCTGGGGAACTTTTCCAGTGCTTGGAGGGAGAAAAGACACTTTGGGCCCACCAAAAAGCTACATCTCCTCCCAAGAGCAGCAGCGTTTTACTCACATTTTATCAACCTGTCAACAAGAATATTGTGGAGGTATTTGCTGAGAGTCGTGATGAAATCAAGATACTGATTTATGTGGGATGTAAAAGCACCTGATCCATTGCCTCTCTCTTCTGTTATGTGTGCTATTAATATGTGTGTGGTGGTGGTTTAAGGCTATGAAAGAAAAATGAAACGCAGTTTTCTCTCAACTACACTTCTGACTTGGCCATGGTGGTTCATACTATTGTTACATCCAAAATGGACTACTGTAATGCATGGTATATGGGCTGCCTTTGCAGACAGTTCAGAAACTGCAGTTAGTGCAAAGGTTAGCTGCCAGATTGCTAACTGGGGCTAGCTATAGGGAAAATACTATGCCCCTACTGAAACAGCTCCACTGGCTTCTGACAAGTTTCCGGGCTCAATTCAAGGTGCAGGTTATTACCTACAAAGCCCTATACACCAGGTCCAACCTATCTTTGATACTGCATGTCTTTCTATAAACTGTCCCAGGTTCTGAGATTGGCACGGGAGGCCCTTCTTTCAGTCCCACCAACATCGCAAGAGTGGTTGGTGGGGACAAGAGAGAGGGCCTTCTCTATGGTGGCTCCCATGCTCTGAAATACTCTCCCAAAAGAGATTGGATTCGCCCCTACTTTTGAATCCTTCCAATCCAGTTTAAAAACATGGATTTAAAAACAGGCTTTTGGCCTCGAGTAGGCTGAAACGGGCCCGTATGAGGTTGACACTCTGGGACTTTAGTTGTGAATTGATGGCAGCTAGTTTAACTACAGATGGTCTGAGTTTTTAAAATTGTGTTATTTTATTGTAAGTGTTGATTGGTGTTGTTTTTATAATATTTATGTGACATTGTTTTATACTCATGTTATGTTATATGCTGCACTTTGGAATGTCTGGTAAGCCACCCTGAGTCCCTTTGGGGAGATGGTGGTGCGATATAAATAAAGTTTTTTATTATTATTATGTGTTTAACTGTGCATAATATTAATCCATTTTTGTGTGGTGGAAGAGACTGCAGAATAATGCCCTGAGTCAGGCATGTAGCCGGTGGGGGGGGGGGGGGGGGGGGGGGGGGGCTTGAGGGGCTTCACCCCCTCCAAAAAAGATTCTCATGGTGGTCCGCAAGAAGGCCTTACTGGTACATTATTTAAACTGTTATGTTTATTCATATCATGATCTGATCACCATGCTCAATATATCCCATATGCATGGGGGTATTGGGGTAACGATACAAAAGGTTTGCTAGGGTAGACCCTCTTTCACTCAGACTCAGCCCCCCCCCCCCGAATCAAACTCAGCTCCCCCTGAAACAAAATCCTGGCTACGGGCCTGCCCTGAGTCATATGCTGATAGTTACATCTTTGATAAAATCAGTATGTCTATTGCTGCTTTGGGCAAAACCACCTTTTAAGTCAGATGAACATTACAATAATTTGTATAAAACTGTGCTTTGCTGCAGTTCCGTCCCTTTTCAAGAGCTACTACATACCTAGATGTTCCTTTTGGTGCCCTTGGCAACTACAAATAGGTAGGAGTCCTAGTACCTGAGCAAAGGAAGCCTTTCCATTTGATTTACCAGGAAAAAAAGCAGATGGCTGCAAGCTCCCTAGTTCTGATTCTGCACAAGCATGCTAGAGAACACATTTTATGAAGACTGTCAGAAACAGAATAATAAAATCCATTCTATAAATCCAGTGCCAATTTTCCATGTGTGCCTTCATCAGATTATTTACTTGCAGTTGGGTGTGGGGAAATGTGGCTGCATTGGCAGAGGGCCTTAGGTTTCTCACAGCATTTGCTTTGCTTTAATTGATTTATGTTAAAATTCCATCCCCCTCTTCTCCTGTTGTATTCATTTGTGGCAGACTGCAGGGAACTAGGAGGCTTAGTTTGTGTGTCCCAGCACAGTACAGAATGAACAGAAATCTACGCTTCAAATTATATAACCGACTGGCTTCTTTCATCACAGAAATAAAGCTCAAAATAAATGGTATAATTTTAAGTTATAGTCCTATATTTGTTTATCCATAATTCCCATTGAACTGTATACAGGTTGAGTATTTTTTATCTGAAATATTTTGGACCTTATATACATAGTCTTAAGGTAATTTTATGTGCAATATTAATAATAATTATGAAACATAGTGTGTATACATTGATCCATCAGAAAGCAAATGTTACTATAGTATATGGGTGTGTGAAATGGCACAGAATCAATTCAGTTTTCATTCACTTCCCCCACCCCCAGTTCTGTTTTTGGGAAGATTCTTCCCGAAATGAAACTCAGGGTTCTGAATTACAAATCTGAACATTCTCTACTCCTAATCTCCTGAAATCTTCCCGAAAACACAATTGGGGGGGGGGGGCACCTGAAATTCGAAGCAAAAACATAACAGATTTGCACATCCTTACTTCAGTATATCCAGCCACTTAATGATCAGCTTTGGAGTTTGGAGTATTTCAGATTTGACAATTCTGGAAATACTCCAAAGGGTGCTCAAAGAAATACTAATAAATTTTAAACAAACAGATATTTGATAGAGCTATAAATGTCTGGGACCTATAACTTTCCAGACATCAGTGAAGTACTTCTCACATGATGCCTCATCATTGGCCAGCCTGGTGAGGGCTAATGGGGATTGAAGTCCAGCATTATGGAGAAGAATTTACTGTAATTCCCATCCCATCAAATCTAAGCACATTGAAAATGTAGCGTCTGCCCAGAAGTAAATTCCCAGATAAGTATACATACAATTGCAGCTTTAGTAGAAATGATCTCATAAATGTACATTTTTTAAGTTTGCATTATGTAAATTACAGGCCAATTTTGCATTGAGATAGCAAAATTAGAATATGAAATAATCTGATAAATGAGTAAAGTTAATGTTTTGCTAATAACCATGATGTCTGTCTACCATGATCAGCTCCAGCTTTCCTATGTTCAGTGCCACTTCTTTGAGAGAGAATATTGATGGAGTTACCAGAGTTGCTGTGCAATGAGAGATGTTTCATTGAAATTATACTTCCTTTGCACCAAGGCATTAAGTTTCCAAATTCAAGGGCTTCTTTGTCTGATTTGCTGCAGCTGTGTCCAATAGATTATGTGACCTTTCCATTATAGTAGACTTGCATGCAAGGCAATCTGGCCATTATTTACAATTTCACTATCTCTGTTCCACCTCCCACTGTTTGTGCTACAGCTCTTTACTGTAATACAAGGAAAATAAAAGAAATAGGAAGCGACAGGCCTAGCAGAAAGTTTTTTACTAGAGGGCAGGACTGAGTCTAATAAGCTTATATTACAGGAGAGTATACTTTGAATGAGTATCAGGATAAATTTCTTAAGGGTGAAAGCAATTCAACAAAGGAAGCAATTATCTAACGGAGTGGTGACCTCCTCCTGACTGGCAAGCCATCTCTTGGGAATGCACTGACTCTGAATCTCCTGCATGAAGCAAAGGGGATTATTGACTGTTGTGCCCGCATAATGTTACCATTATTAGATGAGAGTATTGCAGGGATATTACTTCCCTTTTCAAGGCAGACAGATATTATAAAATATAGAATGGTTTTGAGTGTAAGATATTGTTCTCCATTTTGATGAAAAAGGAGGTCAGCACACAATGTAACTATGCTTACTTTAATATGAACACGGGGAAGGTTTATTGATAAGCCACAACCTATACCATTCTGTATGCACCTATGACATGCGGGTCTGGTTTTGGATAGAGAGCAGAAGAAGTTCTGGTCCAAAAGCAATAGTAGGAAACTCCCACTTCATCACACTTTTTTAAATGCAGTATTCTTGCCCAATGTCGGAGGAAAAATGGTGCTATCTACTATCTATACACTTATTGGGGAATAAACCCTTAGAGTATGTTGGGAATCACCCCCAAGGAGCTATGCATAAGATCAGACCACTGATTTTATCAATAAACCTTTCCCATGCTCATATTAAAGGGGTGAAGGAGAGGGAGAGAGGGAGGGAAAGGGGGATAATTGCATCCACTAATACCATGTGACTGCTAGAAAAGAAGTGGAAGGGATCTACCACACCTAAATTAGTAATGGAAAGGCAGCAGTATTGGGAAGCCCGTCAATGAAAAGGAAGATTACAGTCCTGAGGGAGTGCAAAGAGGCAGAAAGATGTACATGATATTGGGTGATAGCTAGTGGAAACAGAGGGTTATCATTGCTGAAATTCCACTTTGCCAGTGTCAAGTCCAGTGTTTAACAATTCCATGTAATACAACTGCTATTTGCTTCTGTATCAGCCTCAAATGTTAAACAGAGACTATTTTACAACATATAAGACTGTAGTACCATTCTCAGTTCTATGTATAAATGAACATGGGTAGGATTGGGCTACTGGTTCTGTACAACTGATTATTTTCATCAAAGAGAGAAAAATTAGAACATTAAAATAGGATATCCATCAATCTAAAATCTAAGGTCAACATCATTGCTCAGACTATATCAGCTCCTTAAAGGCATCCAAGCTCTCTTGCTTCCGTAAAGAAAGCAGATTTATCTTACCAGGTAAAGGATCCTGACTGGAACAGACTGCTGGTAGTTCAATACATTTTTCTTCATTGGGTTTGAACCAAGAGTTAAAATATAACCACATCTCTTCATTTGTGCTTGTATGTTTCATATGCAACATGTCCAAATGCCAAGGCTCTCTTAGCTGAGCATGTGGACCCGAAATCCGAATCTTGTAAACGGAGCCAATCTTTTTTAGTTCATCCTGTGTGAGAAGGTGACAAACACAGTCAAAAACTTTCCTGCCCTTGCTTTGAATTGTCTATCACTATGTGGCCATCCATTATATAAGATTTCTCATCACTTTCAGATACTAAAGCAGCATGCCGGGTTTATAAGGAAGAATTTTCCCCAAAGCATCAAAACAATATAGATAGATAGATAGATAGATAGATAGATAGATAGATAGATAGATAGATAGATAGATAGATGATAGATAGATACTCTGGACATTTAAAATAAATATAAAAGTGTATTTCTTTGTGAAGCAACATTAACTACTCATTTGGATAAAATGAATCTTACTGATTTTTTTTAAAAGGAAAATGGTTTCTTTGAACATTATATTAAAAAGTTTCCATCTAAGATGTTTTTAGATGCCCAACTAAAAATGAAAAGTGTGATTGTGCAGCACACATATTTGCAAATATGGGTATCATTTAGGTGCATACACAGAGAATTTGGATATGTTGTAGAATTCAGCATATAGTGTTTTGAATGCTAGATTACAACTTAGAGACCAGGGTGTGAATCCCTGATCAGACATGAAAATCCACTGGGTGACCTTTGGCAAGCCATGCTCTCTCAGCCTCTGAAGAATGGGTTCACCTAAATGTTGTCATAAGTCAGAAATAACTTGAAGGCATAAAACAATAAACACATTTCACAGATTTCTGGTTGATGCCTGTGCAACTCATGAAAAATACTATTAGCATTAGAATGTAGTGGTGGACTTCTGTTAGTTGTGGAAGGATGGAATTCAGCAGAACCAGAAATGGATAACACTTCCTCTTTACAGCAGTCTCTGTATGCTTCCACAAACACATTTTAATGGAAGAAAAAGCAGAGGGGAGGGGATGAGAGAAAGAACATTCCACTTTAACCACAGTAATATTGGAACGATCACTTTGCTTTAAACTGAATTAGTGCATGTTATTTTATGAAATCCTAAGCATGTCATTATTTTACCCTGGGTATGCAACCTGGGATAGTCTGAACTGCATTTCCCAGCTTCCTTAATGACTGATAATGCTGGCTAGGTCTGACAACATCTGGAGGGGCACAGGTTGGCTCTTCCAATTATACGCTATGATGGGGAAATTAACAGGCATTGATTCTTTGATTTATAATATATCATTCAGAAGTCTGTAAACATTACTGCCATCCTGTTTCTTGTGAGATACCAGCTGCAATGACAAAAGCAAGAATTCAAAGGATTGTGCTTTCATGAAAGAAATATAATCCCAGATGGAGTCTAAATAAAGCAGCTTACTATTTGGCATAAGTAAAGCAGCTATGCTAGCTGGAGGATTCTGGGAGGATTCATCCAAAAAAAAAAAGTTTCCAAATCCACTACTTTTAATCAGTCCACAAAGTCCACAATACTTAAGTCCACAAATTGTGGTTTTGAACTTAAAAGCATTCCTGAACAGGTAGTTTTACTCAACATTTGAATATGCATAACATACCTTTGTGATATTATGGGAAATTAACATAGGGATTGCACCCAATTCCTAACACCTTTCAGAATGTGGATACTGACATCACAAAATGACAGGAAAGTCTGCCAACATCCTACAGAGGAGGAATGGCATTTGACCCAGATCATTTCAAAGTTAGGCCGGGAATGCTCGTAATCCCTAATGTAACTTTCTTCATATGGTGTCTTTGCTACAGATAGCGGCTCTCTATATTGTTCAAAATCTGAACATTTTCTGAAAGATATATCTAGCACTAAAGATGATGACTTGATTGTTATCTAGCATGAAATTAAGAGCCTAGTTTTGAATTTAACACAGTAGGTTCCAATTTGGTTCTGAGTTTAAATCAAGACACTTTTTTGGAAAAGAAAATGAAAAAGCTACAAAGCTCTAAATAGTTTGAGATCAGGATATTACTTCAACCCCTCACTTGTGAAACTCCCTCCCAAGGGAAGTCTGGCTTTCAGCTTCCAGCAAATGGCCCAAACTATTACAACCCTTGGTTTTTAAAAATGATTTTAAAATTTGGTTTGACAATTGTTTTTCATCTGGTTGTAAAAATGTTTAATAAGTATATCACTACGCATCACTTTGTACACACAAAGCCTTATGGGCTGAAAAAAAAGATTAACAAATAGATTTAGTAAATAAATAGTAGTGAGACTGTCATTTCCCACACGTAGAAAATACAAAGTGTGTTTATCCTGGGACTAGTGCTCTACAGCACTTGAATTTTAATCAATCTAGATTAAAGAACACCTTAATAGAGCTTTATGCACTGGGGGAAGAGGAGAAAATTTGACGAACAGGCCCTGCAATGAAGAGACAAGAAGAACCAGCAGTAGTCACAAACATGAGAGCCTATGAGCAGCAGCGGTCATGTTCAGAAATTGGAGAAACTAGTGAGGAGGTGGTCAGGCCTTAAACAGACTGCAATCACTGCACCCATTACTTACAGCATTTCAGTGTATAGCTCCTATAGCAAAGCCTCTTGGTCTCTGACCATGAAGGCCATCAAATACGGTATCTTCCCTAGAGCATTTTTGTGCTATCTGGACACACATTATCTAAATGTGTCCTGGATATATTAATTGATATATTATTCAATTAATTATTGGGGTCATTGTTGAGAAATAATATTGGCCTAAATCTAATTATTAGCTCTGTATAGATTTCATTGATTCAATGAAATTGGTATTAAACCAGTTGGTATTAACGTTTAGATTTAAGTTAAAGTCTCCCAAAGACATTATCATATTTACTTGTTGTGGGGTCATCTGATCTTGCATCCCTGAAAACATCCTCACTCCATGCACACATGTATTTCTTGCATTACCTGTTGTACTTTTGATTTTTCTTTTACAAAAAGAAATACTCACTTTGATTTGTGTTTCTTTTTCTGAAAGCTGAAGTGCCAACTTTTTATGATCTTGATTTCCATAAAAGATTAAAGTAAGATGTATTGGATCACTTTTAGAACTAAAGTCAGACCCAATGATATCTATTATCCATAAACCTGATGATTGTTTGCTGGTTTCAGAATTTGTTGAAAAAGAGATCCTTTTTTTGCCTTAAAGAGATTGAAGACACAATCAAATGTTGACATCATTAGAGACAGTTTTGATAGTAAATGAAAGGAGTAGTTAGTAGTTTTTAATGTCCATTGATTACAAGGTTTTTAAAACTGATTTTTAAATTTGGTTTGACATCATATATACATAACCTGTGTAAGTACCAAAATGGAACTTGGAAGTGTTTAATATTAGCTAAATTTTAGCCCACTGCTATAACCACAGTAATTTTTTAAATTTAAATCTGAAATACAGAACTTTCCAAAACATGCTAATTTGATTTCAGTGTCCATTCTTGATATTATTACAGAATAGCCAGTACCTTTCAGAGTCTAATTTACTGGTGCTGTACAAGCAAACAAGTACAGATTCCACTATATCCTTCAGTCTGTATCACTTACAAGCACTATTTAGTGCAAGAGACAATGACAGGTGGAAATTGCGTCAGTGAAATGAACTTGCAATCGGGTCATAAACAGTAACATGCTGCATGATACTACTGATAAGTGAAAGTATAATAAATCAAACAAGCGGTATTTGCCAGATCTTCATGCAGCAGCGTTCAAAATCCCCTGAACAATTCTGTGCCTGTTCACTACATCTGCACCATTAAGTTAGCAATCAAGAGTAGATGATTGATTAGGTTTAATATACTGTGGAAAATAAGCATGAATGCACTTTCCATGACAGGATTCTTGTGTCTTTTATGGCTGCAAGCAGAGCAGAAATTCAACAAATGAAGAATTTTCTTGGCTTCAATATATGAGATGTAGCCACATTACACAACTCTATTTTATACCATCGTAAAGCTGTGGCTCCATTCTGTAGTCCACAGTTTCATATGGTACTTTGAATTATCTACCAGAGAGCTCAGTATAAGAGTCATTCTGGGGTAGTGATCTATGCATTTGAGGTATCTCCAAACTGCAATTCCAGAATATATTATTTACCTCATCACATTGCTCAAAATAAGTGTCCTAGGACGCTTAGAGCTTTCTTTGGGAATGGAACCCCACAGTAGCCATTAGACATTGCCTGTGGCTCTGCCGCTAACTGGGGTAAAAGCATCACTAGATGCTTTCCTTGCAACATGGAAGATGTTTTGTGTTCTGCTGGCTCCAATGAAGCCAGCACACTCCTGTCCTATTTGGGCAATGCTTCCTCGGTATGATGAGGAGTATCTCACCTCACCAGTCAGCATGTGGGGCAACAGAGTTGCCCCTCATGTCTGGCATTTCACCACACCTGCTGGCAAAACAGAATGGGAGGGGACTTCCCCGGGTGATAGGGAAGTATATTAGGATGGAATAATGGCAGTTAAAATGGTATCAAACAGTTATAATGAGACAGTGCAGATACACCACAGTCGTGCAATAATCTGCCCTATGTGTGCACCTCATAAGCAATTCCCTCTTACCCTGACACAGGAAACTTTTTATTTTATATTATTGTTATATATTTAATACTTTTATTTATTTCTATCACTGTCTGCATCACTGTACCTATGACAACAATTGGCTTAGTTTTATAGATGATTTCCCTGCATGACAATTGATCAAGACAAGTTCTTCCAGACTAGATCCTAAGGGGAGGATAATGGATTCCCAGTGTTGATTGTAGACTCCCCCAACTCTTTTAAGACAGAAACCCTTACTTTCAATTTAAATGAAAAAATGATGACTGACATTCCTTTCTGTCCAATTAGCTGGTGCAATTCAAATAATCAATTTGGATTGTCAAAGTCCCGCCATACATAGAATAGCAGATCAGAACAGTTGCGATCAAATTTATACTAGCAAGATGTAAGGATGCCTGAAGAATATGTTCTTTGCAGTTCTTAGAATAATGTGAAAATTAGGATGTAATTACCCTTCACGTTTTGCCTCTTCACACTTTGCAATGCAGTTCTCAGCTCAATACAACATATCAAAACATGTACCAAATGGTATAGAATATAACTAAATGAACGGAATGTGTGTTTTGACATAAATTACATTTAGAAACCTTCTATTTTGATGAAATATAGGTTATGACAAAATATATTCAAAATATGAAGTACTTTTGTGTCTACATGCACTTTTTCATGCAACAACACACATACACATACACAGAGAGAGTTATTCTTCATCCTTAGATACAGCCGGGATGAATATGTAAATATTCAAACTCCAGGGCATTTTCTAGTATTCACATTCTGAATAAGAACTTTTTAAATCTACTTACATATTTAGAATATTACATTTATTCTTTCAAAATTTGGATGTTTATTTTGGTATGCTTCAAATATGAAGACTGAAATGTAAACTGTCAAAATAGTCATTACCCTTGAGTGTTCTTTACCAAATGCTGCCAGATATTTAATATCACTACCTGCCATCTGCCCACCCTTCCATGTCAACTATGTGATGCCTTAAATGTGAAGTTTTAAACGCTTTTGTGTCCCAGTTATAAAATACAACTTATGTCTTGTAAACTCATAAATAAATCCTTCCTAAAAATATATTGTCCAGCACAGCTGATTTCCCTCTGTGCTACACAAAAGATGTGTTCTAAGCTACTCTTTCAATTCACCATGTGTGACAGCGATCCCCAAAAACATTACATATGAAATTAATGCATTCTCTGGTGTAAGTCATAGATTCTCATAGATGTCAGAAAAGACATCTCTCAGTAGGAAGACAGAGTGTGGAAAAAACTAGTACAATCCTGTTTCAATATAATATTATGTTAATATTACTCCTATTAGCATATCCTCCAAATAATAAGGGACAGCTGAGTTTGACATCCCCTCTTGGCAGCTTCCCAAGTACTCCAAGAGTAGAGAGTGCATTGCTGAATGGTTCAGGGATAGAAGAGAGAAGAAGGGAAATCCATGAAAACTAATGTGAGTTATTTCTTCATGTAGTTGCCTCTGCATGATTTTCAGGCACGGACTTCTTCCTTCTCAATTTAATGTGCCATAGCCCGCAGCATCCAGCAAATTTGTCCAGGCTTTTCAGGGTGATGATTGGGGCTAGCTGAAGAGCAAAGAACAGCAAAGGGCACTGGCAATGGCCTGGAACTGTCTGGAGCTCTGTGTCTGGCTATCGTGGTGACAAAAGACAATCCATGAAAATGTGACCATCCAGCAGGGCTAAATGAAGCTCAGTCTGGACTTTGCTCCCACTATTGTTGTAGTTTTGGAGCACAACCCCACTCTTCTGAGACTGATAAAAAACAGAAATGTTTAGGTGACCATGTAGATGAACCCTTAGCAACATCAGATAGAAGCACTACAAATAATGTGAACTTACCTATTGTTTCAATCTCACAGACTGTGTCACAGATTCCCATATGAGTATCTAGCCAGTTCCAACACAGGAAGAACCATTCTTTATCTGAGTTTTCAGACTTCTTAATTGTTATCATTTTCAAGAATATTCCAGCTCCATATCCTTCTCCATCATGCCCTACAACTATTTTCTTTAGGCGGCCCAAAGAGACAGCTTCTATTAAAAATGAATCAACCTGAAGAAGATTTACATTTTGAAACAAAGATTTAAAAAATTAGTTAATATTAGTTAATATTAGTTAACTGCATTTTAGGGTGGAATGATAACATACACATAGGTATAAAAGACAATTTCTTTCATATAGAATAGCCTTGAATAGTGAACACTTGAAAACACTATCCTGAAAATTTACAGAGACAGGAAAAATTCAAAGTAGCAGGAAATAAATCAAAGGGGAAACAATCATTTGTGTACCCAGTTCATAGATCTCTCTGAAGCTCACCAACAAAACTCCTGGAGATGCATAGATCATAGGGTTTTTAAAAAGCCTGCTCTAGATATTGGATGAGCAAAACAGCCTAAAAGGGGGATTTAAGTCTCAAAAAGGCTCCTAATAAGAACTGACAAACAACAAAGACGAAATATGTGAAAGCCTATTGAGCTAGATATTGTGTCTAGTTTTATGCAGCTCTTGCTAAATGAAATCACTTTCCAGAATTGGAACTTTCATTTGTTACCATTTGTTACAGTAGACATAAATGATTTTCTCAACACTCTTGTCTTTTGATTCTCTCAGGGGACATACAATTATTCCTCAGCTCATACTTCATATACCCCTTGCTATTTTTATTTTTTTGCAATTGATCTGTGGACAGTGATCAAACAAGCATGAAGAACTCCTAGTGTCTACTGTCAATGTGATGCCATTAGCAATAGCAACCCATCCCTTTCTCTTTATGTGCCTATGTATCAAACTATTCTGTTTCTTTTATCTTTTTATATGTCCTTTGCTGCTCTGTTTTCAATCCAGTGTCTATTTCCAGCAAAGTTCAGGAAAGAGCAAGCCTTGCCATTCCCATGGCCTTGCCATTTGAGAGAACTTTAGATTGTCTCTTTTACAACCTCATCATACTTGCTAATTTGCCTATCATATGTCGGTTCCTCTCTCCTTTTGCCATGGAACCCATTACATAATGTACATCTACTTCCGACAGGGCTCCATGGCGAAAGGGTAGTGGAACCACTGTGGCAGCTGCAACAGCAATGTGAGAGGTTTCCCATGTTGTATTTGCAACAATGTGAGGAAGCCAGGTGCTGGAAGCTTCCACCTGTGGATTGGGGCTAGTGGTAAGTCAGGCGATATGGGGCAGGGGGCAATCAGTTCTCAAAGTCCCTTGCCAGGACCCCATAGATTTGCCACAATTCTTGTTAAATCCATATGCTAATGTGATAAGGTCCTTAAAGATATCTCTTGCTGGTTTTAGGACATTCCTAATATGCAAAGTTAATTCCCTTCCAGTATTGGAAGGAAGGAAGGAAGGAAGGAAATCTTCCTTCTTCAAAAGTGTTTTAAGCAGCAAAACTACTGTGCATACTCATGTACAAATCAAGGGTATATTTTGAGACCAAAATTATTGATTTTGATATGATCAGAGGACAAGTATTAAGTTATTCCATGAAGAGAAGAAAGTGCCAGTGCTGCCTCAGGTGGCCAGCTGTCCCAAGCCCCTGGCCATGGTTATTTTCCTGCCCTGGCATTCAAAAAGGCATTTTTGTTACTCTACCAAGAAAAGGAATGGGTTCCATTTTTATTAAAAGTTAAGATAGAGTATTACCTCTTCTCAAAGAAAGGTACTATGCATTTCTCTGAATTGAGTGGTGAAAACCAAGAGCTTAAACCGTGGTTCTCAACCTGGGGTCCCCAGATGTTTTTGGTCTTCAACTCCCAGAAATCCTAACAGCTGGTAAACTGGCTGGGATTTCTGGGAGTTGTAGGCCAAAACACCTGGGGACCCACAGGTTGAGAACCACAGGCTTAAGAGAACCTAAAAGAAGCAGCAACCTCCTCAACTCTTTCGGTGTTCCCTTGAGGGGAAGTATCAAAGAGCTGCTACAATTAAAATTTTTCTGTGAAGTCATTTAAAGAGGCCATAAGCAGTGCTGTGGCAGTGATAGGGGAGAGATGGGTGCATCTATTAGGATCTCCCGAGACACACTAAGTTCTTGACTTTTGCCATTCTACTGAGAGAAGGGGATCTTTTTAAAAATAGGAGTTAAGTTCAACCACAGTTTTTTAACTAAAATTTCTAGACTTATACTTGAGTATATATGATACATCTTGTAATGTATTCTGTTGGGATCAGATACTAGAAAATTACTTATGAGGATTATAGGTCCCAGGGCATTCACACTGCCTCAACCAATATGGTCAGAAACAATACAGGAAGGGGAATTTGGGAATTGTAAGTCAAAAACTAACTCTGGATGGAATAACTACAAGTATGATGCAATTGGGGCAAATGCACCCACAACTGAAGCATGTGCATTTCTATTCCCTTCACATCTGGGAAAAAGGAACAGGATAGACCAAGTCTTGAGTATGACAAAAAGGAACATCTGGAAAGCCACCTCCTGCCAAGAATTCTAGACAGATGGTAGCTTCCTAGATGTTTCCCTTTGTTCTACTCAAGGTTTGATCTACCCTTTTACCAGATGTGGAGAGAAAGAAAATATGCAGTGTCTACTGGGAGGCGTGTGTGTGTCACTGCCGCTGAGACTCTGGTCAATATGAGATGTCCACACAGCTATTCTCTATTCCTAGCCTAGAAATGGTTCATTTCCCATGGAGGGCTCTTCTAATCCAAGTCTAATCCACTGCAGAGCAACACCAGACCACCAATGTAGAAACTGGCAGAAGTGCTCACACACCCTACCTCCTGCCCCCGGCCCCACCTTTTAAACTAATGCAGGACTCCAACTATCTAAATCAATTCTTGGATAATTTGGCACTATGATATATATATATATATAATGGGTTTCTTTTCTAATTGTCTTGGAGAATAAGAAATAAGAAATAAAGTGAAGAATATAATAAAAGTGAAAATTGGTGGTTACATGCAAACCACTGAATTTTATGACTTAAGGTTGGCTTCTTTGTGTCTTTACAGCTCATTGTATTTAAAGAGGGTCACCATATTTAATATTATATTTATACTTATAGCACCTTGTTCCTTTGAAACTTTTCTCCTGGCGTGAGAGAGTGTTGCAGCTTCCTGATGCCTGTATCTCCTCTTTCACCATAAACTGTTATATAAAGGTTTGCAAAGGTTTCTGCTCCCCACAGATCACCGGTATGCACCGAGATGATATATTTATGCACTACAAAGAAAAATATTAGGTCAAGAACACTCATTTTACTGGATTGCTTTTATGCTATACAATTATACAGATGGAAACAAACAACAACCTACCCTAATACCAACAAAACAGCTCAATAAAATAGATCTGAAGTGCATACTTCACTGTAATAGCATGGTTGGGTTGTGGGTAACTGTGGTCCTCCAAGTGCTTGTTGACCTAGACTTTACTTCAGCCTCAACAAGGAAGTGAGGAATTATGAAGGCTGCAGCCAAAAATATCTGTAAAGATGCAACTGTCCACCATATTGAGAATAGTAGATGGTTGTGTATTAATCATAATGTTAGGACAACCATCTCACTCTGGAGAAAATGGACTTTGCAGATATAACAGAAATATAAATGTAGAAACAAAGAGTCTAAAATGGGAAGTACAAAGACATGATGTGAACTTATTTTTTGTTTGTTTTAAGAAACAGGATCTGAGCAATTTGCATCTCATGGTATACCTCCTATAACCACAACTTGCACCAGAATTAAATGGTCTTAAAGGAACTTAAAGGTAGAGTTAAGCATGGAGGTATGAACTATCAGGTATATTTTCCCTGACTATAATTTCTTTCTAATTTTTTTCTTTCATTATGGGAAGGGTTTCATTGTATATCAATGGGAGGCTGGAGGGGCGGGGGGAGAAAACACCAGAGCCTTCCCATTGTTTTTCCACACACACACACACACACACACAATATTATTCACAGGTGCCCATTTTCCATCTCGTCAGATGGGGTTTGAGAAGCATCCTGGGATGCTTTCCGACAGTCCAGCAACAGATGGGCATGCTGCCCATACCGCCATGTCACTGGACTTCTGGCAGAGGCCCCACCCATAATTGGAGTGTCACATGGCACTTTCCTCTCAACACGGGAGCCTACTTGTGATGTGGTGGCTCCAATGGAGCCAGCATGGGTCCTCACTGCTTGACCAACACTCCCCAAGGGTAATTGCAGAAGCATCACAGCAAGGGAGTGGTGCACAGGGCGATGGATTCATCCTCTTGCCCCTCTGTTTCTTTGGTGAAGTCAGGTGAAGCAAGATGCTTCACCTGGCCTTTGTGATAAGGTTATGTCCATGCAATGGCAATACTCTATCTGTGAAAGAACAAGACAGGATTCTGAACACTGCAGTCAGCCTAACTTCTAAAATGTGCATCTTCTTGATATTATTTAGAATGTGAATTCTTTTCACAGCCATTACTTATATTTTTATGTAGAACTGTCTATAAAGATGTATTTGTAATGTTTGTGTTCTTTTTCATCTATTGATATTCCACTGTATCTGTAAGTGCACAGCACATGCTATTTTTCTAATTCTTTTTTTAGTTATGCTTTGAACCCCATAAATGCCTAAACAAGGTATTATGCAGTAGTTGGGCAGGTGTCTTTAGAAACACACAAATGTTCATGCTAAAATCTGGCAATTAATACAACATAATTAGAAATTGCCACCTGCTACCCATGTTTCTTTCAATGCTACACAGTATTTTTCTCTTTTGGGCACATGGCAACACTATAAATAAACTACTGATAGTCCAGCCCAATGGTTTTGTCACACCAGTAGTGGCTGATACATCAAGGCAGTGCCACCATCACACTCAGTTAACATTGTTGTGATTCTATGTTCTCCTACCAGCAAGATAACAGCAAAATACCAACATAGTTGTAACAAATGAAGCAACAATCGGTAGCTGTGCTATTGTTGCCATTACACAGCTATTATGAACACAGTCACTGAAGAATCCATGTTAGAGATTGTGATGGACCCTATAGCCAAACTGGGCCCACTGTCCAACTCTAGGAGCACTGTCAGATTTACCATTGTGCTTAGTACAGGGTCTATTGGATGGGGCTCATTTTTCCCACCCACCCCCCACCTCTCAAATAATTTACAATGTATTTTGCTTATGTGGTACAATTCTAAATTAGAAGGTATTCTGTTTCAGAGTGATGCCAGACATAATGATAGTTGATAGTCTATGGGAGTGTGCCACAAAGCAGACAGTGTAGGTCTATTGGACATACCTCCTTCAGGGCCCAAGTAAGAGGCCCCATAACTAGAAGTCATGTCACTCATCTTCCATATTTATCATCAAGATCCCTCCCTGGATCTGATACTCATAATTAAAAGTAATTTACTAGTGGCTACATTTATCAGTGGTTTTAATATGCTAAAGCATGACCAGTTTCCTCCTTCAGTTCAGTTCCCTGAACATTGTCCACATTTCCAGTTCTGAAAAGTCTATTCAGATCATTTCCATTCCTTTCTCACTAACTGTCTTCACTCTGATCTCTTCCCAAATATTTAACGATAATGATTACTTAAAGATAATAGACTCCCCAACGCATTCCATGAAGTGTAATTAGCTAGTTTTATCGAGGTTTTTAGAGTTTGTCATTTCATAGATAGATATGGAAGACGACAGATGTACAGTCAGTCTCCAAGTTATGAACAAGTTAGCTTCTGTAGGTTTGTTCTTAAGTTGAATTTGTTTGCAAATCAGAACTCCAGCCAAACACACATAGACACACAAACTTTGGATAGCAGAAGAAAGAATTAACATCCCTGTTGTGTTTGTTTTGGTCTCAGTGCCCCTGTTCAGAAGATGTCACCTTACTTTCTGTCCCTGGGATAATTGGATTTTGAAAAAATGTGTTGTTGTGGAAACAAGGATTTGTTATAAAGCTTCAGTGGACACCTTTTTCCCATGATAATAATTCTTTCAGGAGTGAATTTCCCTACCCCAGGGTAGGTTTCTCTCATTTACTGCTGTCTCACTCCCATTCTTAACTATGAGTCATTTGTAAGTTGGATATTTGGGGGGGGGGCGCTCGGGGGACTGCCTGTACAGTGATAGCCAAACAACTAAATGATATAGTAGTGTCCAGTGGCTTTCAAGTCAGGAATTTGGTGACTCTGTTAGTCTAACTTAAAAGGATCTACCCAGATAGTTGTGTTAAAATCCAGACTTTGGATCTCCCTTCCAAAGCAGACAAAGGAGCTCATCAGATGGCCCTTACAAAGTTGGAGGACAATGGGGGAAATTGTGGACAGTGTCACACTGCGTTCCCTACCATCAGGGCTCATGGTATCACTTTCTACTATGTTTCCCCACCTTCCCCCACTTCCTCCTCATCTTCAGAGACTTTCTTGTATGAGAGGGAAGGTGTACAACTGACTCCTTTGGGCTCCATTTCTCTGTGCTGCTGGTACACTGCTGGCATGGAGTTCCAGCAGAAGTAACCTGCTCCAGGGGATTCTTTGCTGGCAGTGTGATGGCAGTACAGAGAAGTGGGGAGAAGATGCTTTTCAAACCCAATGTGATGAGGTTATAAGACATTATTTTGCCAGCAGGCATTTGGGGGAGGATGAGGCATAATGCTCCAGAGGTTGTGGGTGAGACTTGGGGGTGGTAGTGTTTTCAATGTAATTTTAATTGCATTTTTAACTTTAAGTAAAGGTAAAGGTTTTCCCCTGACAGTAAGTCTAGTTGTGTCCAACTCTGGGGGGTGGTGCGCATCTCAATTTCTAAGCCAAAGAGCCGGTGTTGTCCATAGACACCTCCAAGGTCATGTGGCCAGCATGACTACATGGAGCACCGTTACCGTCACACCGGAGCAGTAACTTTTGATCTTATCACATTTGAATGTTTTTGAACTGCTATGTTGGAAGAAGCTGGGGCTGACAGCAGAAGCTCACGCCGCTCCCTGGATTCGAATATGCGACCTTTCAGTCAAAAAGCTCAGCAGCTCAGCAGTTTAATGCACTGATACACAGGGGGGCTCTATTTTTAACTTTATACCCACACTAATATTTAGGGTTTTTTTTAATGCATCTGCCTTGGTTTAAATTGTTATTGGATTGTATAACTGTTAGCCACCTTGAGTCACTACAAAGAGAATGCTGGAATATAAATAAAGTGATGATGATGTTGATGATGCTGATGATGCTGATGATGACAACAACAAAAACAACAATTTGAAACAAAACAACAATTTGAAACAAACCAAAAGTTGGTTTACTAAATTTCTGATAGTGAAACAGCCACTGTCATGACTTCACCTGCCCCAGTTCATCCTGTGCAAATGACTGACCAGAAAAGGAACCTGAACCTGAAAAGATTTGTTGTGCAATGTAATACGCCCCTTCCCTTGCCTGTCAGCTGAAAGGGGAAGCTGTGCACCTCCCTCAGGTCTTAGGCTCAGCTTGACAAAGAGGCATCAGTTCCCCAACTGGCCTCGTTCACAAGGCTTTCTAAGCTCAGAGCTTTTGAAAGTCTTGTGAATGAGGCCAGATGAGAGTCTGCCTCTCTTCTGTCAGGACCAAGTTTCTCTTGTCTATCAGCCACTCCACCTTGACTGATGCAACCACAACGCTAAGGATATTTAGTGGCTCTGAAACATAGAACATTGCAGAAACACCCTGAGAAATAAAGCAACATTTTTATTGCACAACAGAATCATTCCTGATAATCACTTTGGCGACTCAAGTCTTCATAAGTGAAATAATTCAGTGTTCAATCTACCAAAAATGGCTTCCATTATGCTGAATTATATGCATTATCTTTTATCAGTATAATTATAACTCTCTGACTTAAACACAGAATGCAGCAATTGTTATACACAGCTTTTCATTTAATTAGAATGACTTTGAATATTAGCATGAAGCATAAAGCATTAGTATTTAGATGGTGAGTATTTAACAAAATACTTTTGATGCACTGATTTTTCTCCCCCAGTGACTAGTTGAGATTGGTTCCCCTTTCTCTGCTATTTTTACCTGGTAAAGTTTTCTGGTTCTCATTCACTGCAGGGAATTCTTTTACTACCTCTCCATGTTCCCGTCTAAGAGAAAACCAACAGCTACAGTCAAAGTTCACCACTCGATTAGTGTATAGCTCTTCCATTTCAAAAGACTTCAGATGCCAGCCCTCAAAGCCTGGTAAATCATCACAGCTGACCCGAATCTTGTACACATCTCCAGTGTCTCCAGATTCGATCTGTAATTAAGAAAAATAGAATAGGTTACTGAGGAAAAGGCATCTCTTCCTAGCATCAGAGCAAGCCAAACAGGAACCATATACCTGGCAATGCTATCTACATTCTCTATCATTTTGATGAATAATGTCTTAATTAAATTTCTCATTCCTGGTGAAATTGGGGATCGCTAATACCTTCTGACTATGAGTGATATGAATGAATACATTTGTTTCTATTCATGAAGCAGATCAAGTGCTAAGATTACTTCACATTACAATGGTGGGACAATGTTTAACTTAATCATTCAAGGCAGCGGTGGTCTTTTAAAATACTAATCTCCCAAACTTACTTGGCGATGCATATTGCTTAAATCAGATTTGTTATTTATTTCAACAGACTGATGTTCCCAGATTATTGATGGACTGGACTTCAGATCCAGAGGCTCTGTCGTGACCTTGCTACTTCAATTGCAAATGTCATTTTTTGTTGTTGTTGTTGCCGATGGTTAAAATGCCAAGAAAATCAATGTAATGCCTTTCAAGCCTCACCTTTTCCCTGGACTTTTCGATGTATGTAGACAGAAAAAGAATCGATGGCAAATAACACTGAGATTAGAAGGCATTGATGGAAATAGGAAATCCTAATTACTTTCCCCTCTTTGTTGCTGGCATGGACAAGACAGAGAGCACAATTCCCTTGTCATCACCATACTGTCAGTAGAAAGGGTCTCACTTTATCTGTCTTTTATTTCATTTTTTTCTCCATGCAATTGAATCATATGATTCAAATCTGTTGGGCTCTACGATTTCAGAGGACAGTGAGGAAACAATTTTAGAATTCTGTCTTTTAAACATAAATGTCAGACCACATTAGGAGGAGCAAATTTATTTATTTATTTATTTATTTATTTGCAGTATTTATATTCCACCCTTCTCACCCCACAGGGGACTCAGGATGGATTACAATGTACAAATATATGGCAAACATTCAATGCCAAAGACACAACAGATATAGAGAAACAGTCAGAGGCTATTTAACTTTTTCTGGCCACCAGGGGAGCTGTCGCTTTTATCGTCCATCTGCGACACTGATGAAGTTCTTCCGCATTCTCCACATGCTTTTGCTGGAGTGCTTTGCTGAAGTCTTTTTTATGGCCTCATAAATTTTGTTAAATTTGCCTCCCAACACATAGATGGTACCTAATTTTCCTACTTGACAGATGCAACTATCTTTCGAGTTGCAAAGGTTGACAACAAGCTACACAATTGGTCGGAAGCTCACTCTGACCCAGGCTCATGACCTTGTAGTCAGAAGTGATCTTAATGCAGCTGACACTCAGACAGCTGCGCCACAGTCCCAGTGCTAAATCCAGATTGTGCCTGGTCAAAAGTTTATATTACATTTATTGATTGGTTTAATATTTTGTTTTCTCACCAAGGTAGGTGTTAAAACAAGATGCAATTCAAAATCAGTTGATGTACAAATTTAAAAACAATTTAGTTAACTCTGATGGTAGAATGTGTTATTAATGCTTTGGTGGTGTTTGCAGCAGTGAAGTCAGATTTAAAATTGCATCGTAGCACTACATACCAGGATGCTGAGAGAGGTCCAGGGCTTGAGTGGAACCTATTTAAAGCTTCTCTTCTTCTGCTACAGTTTATTAACCCACCCTTCCACATGTGTTACACTGTCCATTCACTAGCTGCATTGAGGCTGGGTAAGAGTTCATTTCACTTTTTTCCTACCCTACATGACCATTCAGAGAATCGACTAGGGTGGAATCTTAAATAGGTTCCCAATGACAAGTGGTGGGGAGAAAGGAACTTTTTGGTGAATAATCGGATTTTGGAACTGCCCTTGTGCATCATGTGACTGGGGGCCCTTCCACACAGCCCTATATCTCAGAATAATAAGTCAGAAAATCCCACATTACCTGATTGTGGACTCAGATAACCCAGTTCAAAGCAGATATTGTGGGATTTTCTGCTTTGATATCCTGGGATATAAGGCTGTGTGGAAGGGCCCTCGAATTAACACACATTAGCTCATTTTCCAGACATTGTCAATTGCATATTAACACAGATGTTGAGATGGCTGGTTTAAAATATGGAACCTTACAAGCTAAAGCCAGAAAACATGAATCGCCAGCCTAAGCATTTATTGAGGAACTGGGCAAATGCTTGACAAAATATTTATATACCAAATAGTGTACACTTTTGCATTTGCACTGGATTCCAAATATTTATGTTCTTCATATTCTAGATGTGTTAAGTAATTAGGAGAAAACCTTTGCTTTGGATGCGTTTCTGCTGCTAATAAGAATGAGGAAGCTCTCATAAGAAAGAAAGCTCAATGTAAAGACAGAATATCTATGTGCCCAAGACAACACTTTTTAGCATTTAGTATCTTGAGGATTAAATTGGATAAAGAGTGATAACTCTTTGACCTGCTTGATGGTAGTCCAGCATTCATCCTAGCCAGCATTGTCAATGGTTTGAGATGATGGAATCCAATATTTAAATAGTCATGGAGATGTTGGCTGCATTGAATGTGATTATGTTCGGATTTGTCCAGTTTTTATAGAAATGTACAAATCATGTGATTATTTTTTCCTACATCTGTTTTTTTTTGTCCTGCTTACATTGTGTGCCTTTAAGTCATTTCCTATGACAGGGTTTACTTGACAAGATTTGCTCAGAAGAAGTTTCCTCTGAATGCATTTTGTGCCCAAACGAGGCTGCGAAACCTCATCTCCAGAATCATACTCCAGTGCATCACTGGAACAGTATTCCATGTAATTGAATGTAAATAAAATATTTTAAAATATCAGCAGTGCTGCCAAGCAGAAAACTACATCTCAAAACCACAGCAATATGCAGTGGTTTTGTCCAACACACTTAAAAACCCCAGGTATCTTTATAATTGCCCCTCCCAAAAGCAGCTAAAAAGCCAAAAGCAAAAGTGACACAACATCATTTCTGGTCATGGCAAGACCACTTGTGCATCCCCTGGGGGATTGTGGAAATGAAAAATGGTTCACTGCTAATGCAAACACGATGAAACTCATCCTCCTGGGAGCATACAGCCTTTCATTCTAGGATGTCCACGATTTTCTGCTGGATTTTCTGCATTAAGTGGTTCTATTTTTATTCTGAACAAGTGTGTATGTCTTCCCTAACACTAATGATCACTTTCCATAACAGTAGAAATGGGAGAACATACACTGTCCCTCCACATTTCTTGAGTCCAGCTTTTTGATAAGTGATGAAGTCATTAGCTTAGTTCTTCCCAGCAAGACTTCCACCCTGTAAAATTATTGTCTCCAATATTTCTTCTCAAATAGTAATACTAAGACTCCTTTTAAATGAAACAATCTCTCATTTGAAAGATACTACAGACTATCTCATAAAACCATCTAAAATGGTAACGATAAATGTTTTCCTTGAATTTAGAATATATTATATACTAAATGTTATTCCACTTCATGGGATCTTCAGCATTAGTTACCTACAGCAATTACCCTATAGAAAAATGAGATAATACATATAAATTATAATAACATATACCCTGAATAAGACAGACAGGTATATAAATTAGCATAGCATGATATGGTTTAGCATGGCATGGCATGACATGGCACAAACGGCACAGCGCAGAACATAGTATGGTGGGGAGTATCAAATTCCATAATGGTAATTTTTATTTAAAATGTTTATTTCATAACGTGTATATACTCCCCAGTCATAATTTTCCAAGATTTTATTCATTTGCTGAGCTAATTATTGTATTTGGAAAATGGTTTTCTATGGCCCTTCTCTTGATTCAACCCCTTTTGCAGAGCGATTGATGGGGGCAAGAGACAGGGCCTTCTCAGTGGTGGCCCCTTGGCTATGGAACTCCCTCCCCAATGAAATTAAATCAGCCTCTCCCTCCTTACCTTTAGGAAAGAAAGTGAAGACATGAATGTGGGGCCAAGCCTTTGGACAATAATTTTCAGGGCAATAATTGATTACTGAACAATGCAATTTGACTACCAGAATGGCTCCTGGAATTTGGAATGTGTATTTTTAAGATTGATATGTTTTTAATTATTTGGTTTTAATGTATATGTTTGTATTATCTTATATGTGTGTGTGAGTGAGAGAGAGAAAGAGAGAGAGAGAGAGAGAGAGAGAGAGAGAGAGAGATTGAATTGTACCTTGTTTGTGAACCGCCCTGAGTCCCCTTCAGGGTGAGAAGGGCAGGATATAAATGCAGCAAATAAATAAATACATAAATAAATAAATAATAACATGAGCCAGTATTTTAAAAACCAATTAGGTTTGTATTTTTTAGCCACACCTTGGGTGAAAAACCTCATCTTTTGGGCTGGGGTATTGGTGGTTGACATGGATGGGCAGAGGAATCAGCTCCCTCCTCTCTCTGTTCCATGTTTCACCTCCAAAAGTCACAAAACAGTCTTCTTACTGAGGCATGAGAATAGCCGTAGCTCAGTGGCACTGAGAAAGGATGCCAGAGATCTTTGGAGTGGGAATTTGGTAAAGAGGCTGTTTCATGACTTTTATGGGCAAAACAGGGTATAATAAAATCATCATGATCCTAGGTCCTGAAACCTGGGGATTATTATTTTCTCTAATACATCCCACCTGCTGGCACCACTTTAGAGAATCATGAACTGATATCTCAAAATAAATCTCTCTGCTGGACACCAATATGATTCTGGCACGGAGCGTTTAGATGATTGTTTAGGTAACGTGTATACTCTGATAGAGTTGCTGCCGCCACCCAAAGTAATTTGGGAATACTAAAGATGTTGTCCCTGAGGTAAATCCCTTCCTGCCTTACCAGCTCTCCCTTTGGCTTCTTGAAATGCCTGAGATGTAAAAATGAAAAAACAACAACACTGGAATTATTCTCACAGAAAGAGTCACTACTGAGGCTGTTTAAAGATTGAACTAGAGAAGTGTTTATTAATATATTTGAACAAACAACTATCTTCTTTAATGAGGCACACAAGCTT